TGGGGAACCACTTGGACTACTCTGACCATTTGAAAGTTTTCTCATGCTTGGTACTGGGGCTGTTTAGTCTATAATTCTTGTGGGGAGCATTGTCGGCCCAAGTCCTTCCTTCAGGAAAGAACAGGCCTCATGCACAGGCATAACTGCCCAACACAAAACAGGCTCCGTGCTGACTTGTTTTTGCTCGTCTTTGTTTAGTTTTTCTTCCCCTTACTGGTTTGATTTTTTTTTTTTCTTTTTCCTCCTCCTCTTTCTTTTTTGATTTTAGAGAAGGGAATTGGATTGATTATGGCTGAGAGTTAGGAGGGTAGGGAGAACCTGGGGCAGTTGGAGGAGGAGAACATATGATGAAAACATACTGTGTGCCTGTCCAGCCACCCACAAGCTGCAGAGCTCTCCAGGGTGCGGCTTCCTTTAGCTGCCAAGTGTGTCGGGATGAGCGTCTTGGTTATACAGTTGCTTTAGAGTCATCTCTGCTCCTGTAGGTAACACCACACCCATTCTCCTGTTAGTAACCCCAGTGGAAGTCACTTGGCCACCAAGAGAGCTTTGGTCTACCATGACGCCTATGGTCTCATCTTCTATTACTTTTTCATGTCACATGTACTTCAAAGCCTATTCTCAAACATGCTACATACACAGACAGCCCCAGCTCTTTGTACATAAGGTTTCCCTTTTTGAGGCTATTCTTCATGGCCATAGTTTGCCCAACTCTCACTGAGGTCTCTGGTCGACGTTATTTACCACAGGGTGTTTCCTGTTTAACTAGCACTGTTCTCATGTACTGGTTTACTGGTCCTTGTGTTCTTTATGGTTTCATTTTAGTGCTCAGATTTCAGTATCCTATGCTGAACACCTTCACAAAGCTTTAGCACACGGCAGGCACCCCAAAAGTTTTATGGAATGAATGAATCTTGAAATTTCCCTCCACTGCCCTGATTCTCTTCCTTGTTGGACTCTTCTTCCATCTTTTTAAAATGTCCTCTAGATTTTCCTAAGAATCTTCATCTCAAGGATTATATAGAAAGGAGAACTTTGAGGTCTTGTATGTCCAACCCAACTGACTACATGACTGCACACACAATCCAAGTACAACTTTGTACACTTGAGTTCTGACGCCATCACTGGAGCCTTGTGTCGCGAGGTCTACTGCATGTTGACTTTGTTCTACATGTGACCTGCTGCCTGTTTGGGGGAAATTAACTATGTTCTCCATCCAAGGCCGAAATTCTTGCCTTAGCAGCAGCAGCTGCTGCTTCTCCTCCTCTTCCTCCTTCTCCCTCCTCCTTTTTTCTTCCTCCCCCTTCTTCTTTCTCTTCCTCCTCCTACCCCCACCCCATTCTGCCTTCTAAGGACTATGTAGTGCTTTAGGAATTTAAAAATTGCTCCTTAAAATCCCCATTCTCCCAAACAACCTTTTTCTGATGAGCCTCGTGGATTAATCTCAATTTCTTTTTTGTTGAGAGATCTCTTTAAGTAGGAAAAAAAACCAACCTCATACCAGGTTTAGAAATGACCTTTAGAATTGAGGGTGTGGTCTCACACTTATAACCCCAATACTAATAAGGCTAATGCAAGAAGACCGCTGACAGCTCAAGACTATATAGTGAGCTATGAGTTCCAGGCCAGCCTGGGCTACACAGTGAGACCCCATCTCAAAATCAAAACAGCTTTAGCAAAGAAGGTCACAACTGTCTTGCTAACTGGCTAAGTTAATTAACTCTAGTAATAGTGACAGAATTACTAAGATACTTCCTGATAGACATTACTCTGTCAACTGAGGGTATGAACACTACAGCACCCGTGAATCAAATTTCTCCATGATACAACACTCCACCATAAATACGTAATGAGTACATAGTACTTACTACAACCAATATATAAAATAAAATTGTTTTCCAGAGTCTCAAAAGAATGTGAAAATGCTATGGTTAAAAACAATCTGAAAGGCTGTGGAGACGGCTCAGTGTGGGGAGATGCTGGGAGCACAAATATAATGACCTGCTTTTGATCTCCGGGATCCACACAAAGGTGGGCGAGAACAGACTCCACGCCCATGTACGAATGCTGCTGCACACACCCTCGCCTTTACAAAACATACACATACATACAATAATTGCAACTTTTTAAATTAAAAGCAGTTTAAAGAAGCCTTTGGCTTCTCTCGACAATCTCTCAGGAAACTCAGCATCACCATAACCTGGTTATATGCAGATTAAGAGTATACAGATTGGCCTATCTCCTGCTGTTATTTTTTGTGAATTTACCATTGTTGTGCCTCCAACCTTCCCCTTTACAATGAAGCGTGTGGCTAATCAAAGCACCGCCATTCACACTTTAGACTGCTGGGTTTGCTTGATTTAGTAATGTACAGGTAGTCTGTGATCTCAGTTATAACACTTAACAAGGCCAACAAGTATTTAGAAATTAGAATTTTCTACTCTGATATTTTATCTTCCAACTCTTGTATTGAATTATTTCAGTAGTTCCTCAGTTTCTAGGCCCTCTTTTATTATATACTATTCAATTGTATTTTTTAATAAACACATTCTTCCTGAAAATACTCAACAGTCTTTTTCCTTTGTGTTCAATGCTTCTCCTTCCATTTTTCATGTAGCGGACTGTATCCATTGTATGGTAAGAAATGATTCTTATGGTCAGGGTTTTTTTTTTTTTTTTTTTTTAGGCTGGCGGTCTTCAATGAAATAATTAGCAATACTTGTCACTGGAGCCATTTAACTACTCGTATGTGGTGACCAAACACTGATACATCATCCTTCCATAACACGGAAGACATCGGCTTTCCTAATGTACCTACTGTACCTGTGACCATTTGAGAGCTTCCGAGGAAGCCAGCTGCTCGTCACTGGAAGGAGAGAATCAGAGACGTGGTGGCATATGAATGGAACTGAGAGGAAGCAAGAACCTAGGATTCTGGATGGAAAATGAAATTTTCTCATGAAATAAAATATGATTATTAGAGACAGACCTGGGACAGAGACCAAATTAACATGGTCTCTAGGAAAAGACCAAGTGAAGTCCTTTTATTACATTGTTAAGGCTTCCCAATGGGCTGAGAAGGCCCTGTCACTAAGCCTGGCTGTGTGGGAAGAGTGAGTAAGAGGCTTCCCAAGCTGAAGCCTTACAGATCTGTACAGTGAGACCTGGGCACTCAGCAGCTCTCGTGTCTCTTTCTCTAATCCTTCCCTGCTGAAGTCTTCTGGACTTACTCCCACATAACTTCACCTTTAGAGAAGCCCCCAATTCCTTTATTACACGTGTTTAAAAAATTAGACTAACATAGCTGGGCGGTGATGGTGCACACCTTTAATCCCAGCACTCGGGAGGCAGAGGCAGGCGGATCTTTGTGAGTTCGAGACCAGCCTGGACTACAAGAGCTAGTTCTAGGACAGGCTTCAAAGCTACAGAGAAACCTTGTCTCGAAAAACAAAACAAAACAAAACAACAACAACAAATTAGACTAATACTTTAAGTGCAGTCTGCTTTTCTGACCAAATCCCACCTAAAATAGCTGGCTCCCGGGAAGAGTCTGAGGTGAGATTGAATTTGCAACTCTATTGACTTCAGGATCCTAGGTGGTGAAACTGAAAGAAAGAAAAGAGACTAGCAAGGAGGGGAACCCAAGGCAAACTGACAAATCGCTGGACAGCATCGCTGTTGTGGTATGGAGTCCGCGAAGAGACAGTATCAGTCTCTTGGCAAGTCTTCCTGTCCAACCAATCCTGTCATCATGTTGGGATGAGCAGGCTGAGAGCCTGGATACAATACAATCTGCTGAAGGGAGCGGACACTAATCTAGTTAGTACCGCTAACACTGCAGATCACATCCCAAAGCCCTTTTGGCAGCCACAGGGAATCCCGCAAGCCTACTGGTATTGTCAGTGTGTAAGATGGGAACTAAGACAAAGTCATTTGTCAGGAGATTAAGAAATAATGGGCTAAAACTCCTCCTGGATGTTCAAGATGTATGTGTTACTGTATCCAAAGATGGGCTGTCTACTGGCACAAAAAATGCCATAAAACAGTTAAATACCAGTGCAGTAAGGCACTCCCTGCGCACATGTCAGATAGGTGGCTGCATGTCACATGACCTACACAGGGGTTCAGGGACAGGAAAAGGGCAACCTTGTACCCTCCAGCAGGTGAGCAGAGTCTTGTACATTTATATGTCAACAGCCAAACCACAAAAATAGCAATACAGCCAGCTTGGAGATGTTTATGGCTCAGATTCAGAGCGAGAGGTACTCAAAGCAACAAGAGCAGGGCTGAAGGGCCCTTATACAGGGAAAACAGCTTAAGGCCATTAAGAGTTTATCACACCAAAGAGAAACAAGGCAAGTACAGCCAGCTCATTATTCCTACAGGTATCCTCTGCTGTCGGGCTAAGCAATACTGTCATCTGAGGCATGTGCGTTACTCCTGCTGTGAGATGGCAAATGAGAGGTACAATCATTCTCTCCTCTCTTTTCTTCAACCTGGTAACTGTTGTGATGGCTTGCAGAACTGCGTAAATGATGATACACTCAGCATACACCCGGCTCCGCCCTGCCCCAATCTAGACTTTGCCCTACTTAAATTAAATCAAATTCAAGCTTACCTTTATTTCTAAAGGCATGTTTCAAACATGAAGAAATTTACTTTAACCCCATATTGCTCACTCTTGAAAAATAAATTCCATCTCGTATGGCTTCCTTAGCACACCAAAACAGACCTGTTTCTGTTGGACCATGTGCTCTTAGCCCTGGGTCACCTGACTCTCCAAGCAGGTCATAGGCACATCCCTCCTGCAAGACTACACGATGCCTAGAGCAGAGGCCAGGCAGAGGGAGGAAGTGTGGGCTTACAGAGACAGCACAACACGCCACCTCTGCCAATCTGTCATAAACTCTAGCAAATTATGTTTCACTTTTTTTGTTTTGCCAAAAGACTCTGACTTTGTTTAAATCCAGAGGTGAGGGCGAATATAAGTGAAAAGAGAAGACAATCTCTAATCATATATAATGTCAATCCCGTAAATGTAACAAAACATATTAAAATATACAACTGATATATGCCCAAACTGACAGCTTCTGAACTCTATCTTTCAATCAGGACCATCTCTTTAAAATTACCAAAATTCAAATTTCCCTTTAAAAAAATATGGTAAAAGGAACAAAACTAAACTTTCCCCGAGTCCGCTCACAGGCACTGAGCACACTGAACTCCCCAGAGAAAACAGGCTCAGCTGCAGCTTGTGAACATCAGACAGCCACATGACAAGCGGAGTGTGCAGAACTAATGGATGAGCTTTGGTTTTGTCTTCTCTCCAGAGTCCTTGGCATTCTTTATCAAGCGGTACATAAAAGAGTAGAAGAATAAAAGATTGTCATATTGTCCTTTGTATTTCTCTTTCAGCATGTCACTATGGTAGTCTACCAGGAAGTAATAAATGGCTTCAATTGTGGAAAGGAAAGTATCCGGCTTCCCTTTTTGATGGCGCCAAAAGCAACTTTTTCTTGTTTTCAGTTCAACTTGTAATAACTCTGCCAAACAAACAAAGAAGAGAACATGTGAATACTTCTCAATCGCATTACTATTGAGAACAACAATAATAACTGGTGCAATAATATGCATTGATACACAATGATGATTTCATTACTTCAAGGGTTTTTAAAGCACAGATAGGTTCCTTCTATTCCAATTCTAATAGGGTATTATTATAAATGTACAGAGGAACATAGAGAAACAACGTTGCACAGAACAGAACCGTGTACATCCCCACTGTCCCTGCTTCTCAGACCTGGTAAACACATTGAAAAGTCAACAATCAAGAGAGTCTTACTAAGGGTTTCTATCCTGCTAGCTTCTACCCAAAGTTCCTTCTCAAATTTTGACTCGTTGACAGAACCTCATTATCCATTCGCAAAAAAGATTTAATTTATCTGATAAATGCGATTTTTTTCTAAAACAGTTCCTATTTTTATTCATTCTCTCTTTTTTTTCCTTTATACTTTGGTATAGGTTCTACCTGGGGAAGAGGAGGGAGAGAAATACTGAAGTAGGGACGATGTGGGATTCCCCTCTGTATGCTGTGAATATGTTCTATTATCATTGGTTAATAAAAAAGCTGCTTTGTCCTATGGCAGGGCAGAATATAGGTACATGGAAAAACTAAACTAATTGCAGGGAAAAGACAGAGTTAGGGAGACACCATATAGCTACCAAAGGAGACATCAGAACCTTACTGTAGGCCACAGCCTTGTGGCGACACACAGATTAACAGAAACAAGTTAATTTAAGATGTAAGAGTTAGCTAGGAATACACCTGAGCCATCGGCCAAACAGTGCTGTAATTAATACAGTTTTTGTGTGATTATTCAGGTCTGGGTGGCTGGGAAACAAAGTGCAGTCTCCAATTTCAGAAATGGTGCCCAATGTTTGGCAACGTACATGCACATAAAGCTTAGGGCTTCTAGACCCACAAAAACAGGAGTCAATTGCAGCTTCTTGGTAGTCGTATTTTTTCAGCTAGGCTCTGCTGCTGGCGGCTAGCAGAGGCGCTGTTCCTTTAAGAGATGGCTTCCTGGTTCTACTGGCAGCATGACGGCTCTTTCTGGAGGTTCTGCACAGAGCACTTAAATGGGGTTGGTGAGCAGCATGTGGCAAGTTGCTTAATAGACCTGCTGAGCTGGGGCAATGAAACGTGGCTGGCAGAACTGGTGGGCAGTAAACACACCTCCACTATACTGAAAGGCTGAGAGAGGTGGAGCCAGCAGCCAGGGCTGCAGTAACCACACTGCCTACCTTTTTTTAAAAAAATGCTCCTTGTCAGAAAAGGATTTCAAATATGCAATAGGACAGATTCAGACACTAAAGACCTCAAAACAAGACATAATGTGTTTAAAAAAATGTACGTAGGCTTAAGAAAAAAAGAAAATAGGTATAAGTAGTTATAGAAAAATAGTTTTAAAGAATAAATTCTTTAAAGAGACAGTAAAAATAAAATATAACAAAAAAGCTACATAAAAATGAAAATACACAAAGAATCTGGATTATGCATATTATTGTGTTTTCTTTGAATTTTTTACTGCAGAGACATTTGATTCTGGGGACTGCTAAGCCAAACCAATATATATATTTATATATATTTCTTAAAGGCATCTAGACTTCATACTTTAAGTCTAAGGACATGTCACTTTGGAAAAGAAGTTCTGCTTTTGTTTCTACAGAGGACAGAAAGCTGTGGATTCCTTCCAGGCTAATGTGGCTTGATGGAACAAGAGCCCTTGAAAGGTCTCCATAAACCCTAAAAACACTTTGCCCAACAAACAGCAGGGAGGAGTTTGGAGAAAACAATGACCAAATTCCCAAAATAATCATTTATAAATGTTTGTTTTCATTCAAAGGGGGTTGATTATAAATGGCTAATAGACACAATTGAGGTCTTATTAAAGAAAAAAAAGGGGGGGTATATAATAAAGAAATGAATACTTGGGCCTGGAGAGACGACTCAGTGATTAAGAGCACTGGCTATTCTTCCAGAGGTCCTGAGTAAAAATTCCCAGCAGCCACGTGGTGGCTCACAACCATCTATAACAAGGTCTGATGCTCTCTTCTGGCCTGCAGGCATACATGTAAACAGAATACTGTATACATAATAAATAAAATCTTAAAAAATGAATACTTTACATTGGTATAGACTTTAGTTTATTGATATAAATTTAAGGTCAATTTTGTTATATGTATATTTCTAGTCTTGTTTAAGGAATTGTGTTTATACATCTCATTTAAAATGTAATATATAATTAAAAATTATGGATTAATAGTCATCTATAATAATCAAACTTGTAGTTAAGTTTTCTAGATGTGCAGAGATATATTTTAGATGGTTAGGTATTCTTCAAACCTTTCAAAGATCTATAGAATATAGCATTTAAAATATTTTAAGAACTTAGACTTTTCTCAACCATGAGATATTGTCTGCTTCTGGCAGCACCAATTGCTTCAGAGAAGTTGATGGGCACTGAAGAAACACGTTAAGGAATTTGCCTTCAATGTGACAAGGCTAGCTATTTGGGCAAGAAACTGCTCTTGCCTGGACTTCTGGATGGTATGTTGTATGAACTAGACGTGCCTGACCCACATAAAAGTGACTACTGAACATTCCAAAAGATGGAATGGTCCTTCAGAGTTCCTGCCTCACAGAAAAAAACTGCCAGACATTCTTCAGGACACACAAAAAAAGTGACTGACAAACTGCAAATATAGGCAAAATAGTCTTTCAAATTTCTTGCTTTATGAAAAAGTCTGCGAGATACTATGGGCCTATAGATTGAAGATGGGTGCCCCAACATTACAGTAGAATTTTGGGTGACTGTCCAGGCAGGGAGATGTCTCTGACAATTCTAGAACTTTGGAAGTTGCTTACAACACACTTCCTGTTTACTTAGGTAATATTATTTCCTTCTGGGGTCTTTGATTGTTGAAGACAGATAGCTATAGCTATAGTTTTCCTTAGTTAGGATAAAAGATAAATTAGATAGGAAACTGTAGACTCACAATGAAATATTTTAATTCCAATTCTTGCTTGATAGCTGTTTTTTATATGCAATTTTACTATGTTAAAGTTAAAACCTTCCTTTTTTATTTAAGCAGAAAGGGAGAGATGATGCAGGAGTCCCCTCTGTATGCTGTGACTATGTTTTATTACCAGTGATTAATAAAGAAGCTACTTTGGTCTTTGGCAGGGAAGAATATAGCAAGGTGGGAAATCCAAGCAGAGATAGAGGAAGAAAGAAGGTGGAATCAGGAAGACACCATATAGTTGCTAAAGAAGATGCCAGAACCTTACCAGTAAGCCACTGACTTGTGGCGATACATAAATTAATAGAAATGGGTTAAGATGTAAGAGCTAGCTAGAAATACGCCTGAGCCACCGGCCAAAAGATTTTGTGTGATTGAGACTGAATGGCTGCAGGATCAGACAGGACAGAAATCTCTGTTTACGATGGAAGAAGGTAACATAGCAGCAGGGAGGTCTGAATAAGTTATAAGGAATCATACTGTTAACTATCTACCTAAAAATACCTATAATACATGTAAGTGGGTGTATAAATATGCATACATAGTTTAAATAAAATTTTCTCATCTTGGCTGACAATGTTCCCTCTAAGAACCAAAGATCTAATTAAAAAAAAAACAGGCATGAGAAGCCCTCTTTTGAGTTGTTGGTAAATGCTGTCCAAGAGACTCCAACATTACAGGTTATTGTTAATGCCCTTGGTTGCCCCCCAGAGGTGGAGGGTAAAAGTCCTTATGCTGAAGACACTATACTCTTCAGACTTAGGGTCCAGAGGTCCCTGTGTCAGCCCAAGAGTCTCTTCCCTGAGTACTAGCTTTCATGGTACCAGAAGGCAACCATGCAAACTTCCAAAAGAAACCAACAGTCCTACTCAGCTACAATATCTACAAACCATAACAACAACCAGCTTAGCACGATATCTTAAGGGTACAGTAGTGGCACCCATCATCTGGTGGTAACCAACTGCTCTCTAATCAATGTAACAAACCCACTAAACAGAGAAAGCATGCTTGATACGAAAAACCTGGCCACTTACCCAGGATTATGAACTCATGGATCTTGGAGGAGAATCTCTTTATACTAAACCAGTATAAACCCTTAACTATTTTCAACATGCCTTCATAATAAAAGTCCTAAAGAAAGTAAGGATAGAACATACCACAATATAATAAAAGCTATATATGACAAACAATAGCCAAAATTATACTAAACAAAGGAAACAGAAGATGTTTAACAAAGGAAAACAGAGTATTTCCTCTAAAATCTTGAACACACAAGGGTGCTATTTTCCTGATTCCTATTCCATATAATTCTTGAAGTTTTAGCCAGAGCAGTAAGATATGAGAAAGACATAGGGAAGATCAACATTGGAAAGGAAGAAATTAATCTATTGCTTCTTACAGACAATGTGTTCCTACACTTAAAACACCCCATGGGCTCCACTAGAAAACTTTTGGGTCTGATAAACACATTCTGCAAAGTCAAAGGATACAGAACCCACTAGCTTTTTTATATAGCAATAACAGACTTGCAGAGAAAGAAATCAGGAAAAAACAGTCCAGTGTAATTGTTTCAAAAACGAAACAAAGCAAAACCAACCCACCCACCTAGCAATAACCTAATCAAGGAAGTGAAAGATCTCTACAAGGTGGGGAACTGGGAAAAAAAGGAATACTTGTTCATTGTTGGTGGGAATGTAAACTGTGTGGCCACTATAGACAACACTGTGGAGGTTTCTCAGAACACTAATAAATGAAACTGCCTTACACCTGTCAACTTAGTCATCTGGTTAAAAGAAACCAGCTAAGGAGGGACATACTTCATGTCAAGAACTGCGAAGTAAAATGATATGAGACATCTTTAGCAACAACGGAACAATTCAGATAGCAGAGTAATAAGCAATCTAAAATGGGAACCTAGAAAATGATGTATCACAAAGACAGGAATGATTTCACAGACAAACATACGCCACTGCTGCCAACACGACTCTTCAAGGAATTCTAAAAAGATGTACTATGTTTCAGCAAGAAGGGAAAAAAGAATGCTGAGGAGTAAAGAGGTCAAAAGTTACACAATTCCAAACATACCTCTGTATAAAACCTCTGTATAAAATGGTAATCAGGAGAGGTTCTAGTTTGTGGACTAATAGTAAAAGACAGACAGAAATAATGAACACATGCAGTAGCAATGTGAGCAGGAGGAGACTGAACCACGTGCAGATGGAGGAAGTCTTTAGAGCATTTGAAGGGAGAGCTTAAAATGCTGACTTTGAACTTAAAAAAAAATCTTTTAATTCATTTAATCTTCTTGTCTGTTTCTGTGTGCACACGCTATATTATTGCTATAGTGTGTGTGTGTGTGTGTGTGTGTGTGTGTGTGTGTGTGCTACATATAGCATGTGTATGGTGGCAGTCAGAGGACAAATCCATAGCAGTCAGTTCTTGTTTTATACCATGTTGGTCCTGGGAACTGAATTTAGGCCCAAGCCACCTTGCCTACCCAGCTTTGAACTTTTTGACATGCCATGTGCCCAATCCTCAGAAAGAATTCAGATAGGATTATTTTAAAACAAAAAATTTAAACCTTATTTCAGGGAAAAAGAAAAAAAAACAGAAAAACTCATGTGTGGTAGTGCAGCTCTGCGACTTTAGGGCTCTGGAAGGCATCGTGGGCTGCAGAGTGAGTACCAGGCCAGGCAGAGGTACAGAGTGAACTCGTCTTCCCTGCTGGCTAGCATGGACAGTGCTGGAATTGCTACTCAGGCTGCTCACTCACTTTAGACCGTGTGTACTGCAATTCCAAGCTGCCAAGCAAGACATGCCTGTCGCTGCGATAGTGACAGGAGGCTCACCAACCTCTCTGTGACTAAGTCTACAGCCCACTCCATGGGAGAGAACACACACTTGATACCTGAAACCTGGTCAAAAGCGTATGGCTGGGGAAATTACTGTGCTTTCCCTAAAGGAACATGCTGTCAGACGGCTTTCTGAATCTTTCTGTTTAGACGAAGAGACCAGTGCTGCTCTCAGCCTGGCGAAGCTCCTGTTCACAGAGGGTTACCGTCAGTACAGAGATGAATCTGGTCAGAGTACTGACAGTAAATGACCGATGAGCTCGTAAACGAAAGTGGGCTCTATGTCATCTCCATCTTTTCTCAGTGTGGCAATGCACCCTGTAACAATATGCTGGGACGCTGTGGGTAGCAGGGAGGAACAGCTCAGTCACCATGACATCAGGAGCACAAGCAGCTAGGGCCCCACGGCCAGGGGATCAACTGCACGAAAGGAGTTCAACGTGTGGCAGGCTCGGTACTGCACCAGCCTAATGCAAGCTGATAAGTGACTAGACGCAGTGCGTTCTACTAGTAAGGTAACTTTTTAAGTCTATTTGCTTTATTTTATGTGTATGAGTGTCTGCCTGTGCATATGTACGAGTGTATACCATGTGCGTGCCTCCAAAGAGGGCGCTGGATCCCCTGGAACTGGAGTTACATGTGAGCTAACATGTGGGTGTGCTAGGAACTGAATCCGTGGCTTGACCACTGAGCCAAGTCTACAGCCTGTTACAGTGATTCTTAATTCAGCGTTCACAACACCGCAATGGAGGCAGAACTCCTAGGACAGACATCCGGGAGGTAAAGTGTGGCTTACTCAGCTCAATCAAATGAAAGTGTTTTAAGATCTAAAGGCCACAACTGTTCACAAACATGGACTGTTTCTTATAGAGGCAATTTGGTTTATTCAGAAATATGTAATTATACCCCATCCCCATTATTCCTGAGGAGGCAGAGAAGGCAGGGGCTGAATCAGGACATGCAGAGAGCTGCTTTTAGAGACGCATTTCATGGTTTTGAAATAGGAGGAAGTGAGAGGCATGCTTTCTATGGGAATCAGGAAGGAGTAAGCAATCTTTAGTAAAATCTCATTTTAGGCAATGATAGTACCAGAATATTTATATTTAGCAAAATAGTACCAGAATAATTCCATTTATAGGTATTTCAGGGACTTTCACTTGTATTCATTCATTTGAACCTAAAAATCACCATATAAGGTAATACTAAGAAAAATGTCCCAGAAAAATCTTTAGACTGAGGAGTAACTTGCTGCAGTCATGGGACCAAGAGGCTGTGGCAGGCAGTGATCTCTCACTTCTTCAAAGCGCAGAGCAGTATGGATTCATCTACTAAATAACAATAAATTCTTCAAAGTCGTGTGACCCACAGGTACAAACTAATTAGTTATCTAACAAATTAATTAAGCCAGTGAAATGTACTTCACACTTCCTTTAGTTTGGAAATGATTAAGGCTGTCGTACATCTTTTCTTGAAGGACCTATTGGCAACCACACAATACCAACCAAGCAGCTCTCTTGTCTTCTAATCATAAACTGTTCGATAACTGGAAAATTCCTAAAGTTTTTAGAGAAACCATTGAGAATGTGAAAGGAAGAACTGAGAAAGGTCTAAAAGAACAAAAGAAACAGTATGTGGACCTGAACTTCAGATTACTGACTGTGTTATATTTAAACTGTTATTAGGAGTTCAGCATTTCACTCAAGTGAAAAGGCATACAGGGCCGGGAGATCGTTCAGCGGTAATGTGCTTGCTGCGCAGGCCGGGAGGCGGCTCAGTGGCTAACACACTTGCCCACAACACATGGACCCAAGGCCAGGAGATGGCTCAGCGAGTAACACACTTTCTGTATAACACCATGGGCTTGAGTAGATCCTAGAATCGGGGTGAAGGCTGATGTAGCAGCATGGGCTTGAGTAGATCCTAGAATTGGGGTGAAGGCAGATGTAGCAGCACACAGCTACAATCCCAACAGCTTTGATGAGATGGAAGTAGAAGCAGAGAAGGGGACAGTCAGAGGCTTTAGGTCAGCTAGTCTGGGGCAGTGAACAAGAGGCTCTGTCTGAAACACGATGACACCAGACATCATCCTCTCACCGCCATGTACACTCAGTGGCATGCACGTGCCTACAGAACACATAAACACACGTACCTACACATGCACACATGCATTATATATACACATAAACACTTAGACACATAGCTTTTCATAAAAGGCATAGAGAGAAGTAAAAAGAGAAATTCTTATAATACTACACTCAGCCGGACCACCACTGTGAACTCACAGTTTGCACACCTAATGTTTCCTCTGTTCTGTCCACTGAAGAAACAGCCTGTAGTGACTGACAAACAGAACTCAGCTTCTAGTCTCAGATCCTAGCAAACAAACCACAGGTCTTTAAGAAAATGCTGATTCCAAGTCTGTGTCAGGAAGAAAGGCAAAGCAGGTTTGAGATGCTCTGCTGCACCTGCCGAGCCAGTCCTACCCCAAACCACTGAGGCCAGTGACAAAAAGGCCGTTAACACAGGAAGAAGGAGCATGACTAAACTTTCTCCATTTTTCACTTCTCAACATAATGACTGCTTGATCCATGAATACTAAACACTGCAGAGAAAGTCTACAGCCTGGAAGCTTTCCGCCAGTATACTAAAGGAAAACAAACCTTTCCGGGCAGAGATCTGGCAATCAGCACCATCATTAGTAGTCGATTATAAATATGGAAACAACTTGTTTTGTATGCTTCCCGACTTAATGCAACGGTAAGTATATAACCTCAATGCAACGTGCACGAACTGTTCGAGCAGACAACGGGTATAATGACAGGGACAGGACACACTCATGCAGACAACGGGTGTAATGACAGGGACAGGACACACTCATGCAGACAACGGGTGTAATGACAGGGATAGGACACACTATCAATAACGACAACAAACGACAGACATGAACTGGACCAGCCGTAGACAAGCCTGGATTTAGTCTTTCTTTAAAGTATGCTAACTATGGGTCTGGAAAAAGAAAAGTGGTTAACAGCACTTCCCGTTCATGTGCAGGACCCAAGTTCGGTTCCCAGTACCTACATTAGGAAGCTTGCAACTGCCTACAACTCCAGCTTCAAGGGATCAGATGCCCTCTTCTGACCTCCATGGGTTCCTACATGTACATGCACACATATACACACATAAATTTTAATCTAAAAAGTATGCTAGCCAAAATATCTAGACTGAGTACAATCATGAGATATGAAACAACCAATCCAACCACTTTACCAAAATCTAAATCAACCTCAGACCCTGAATTTCCTGTAAACAATTTGTTTTTCCAATGCTTGCAGCTGCTCTCAGGAGTTCCTGATGGCAGGGGAGTGGTTTCTGGTGGGTTTGGCTGGGGCGTGGCTATCAGTTAAGGATCCCTACATAAGCTGCCCTGGAACACAATAAAGGGAGCATTCTTGGCACTTTTGTTTCAAGGATGCCCGGTGTCCTCATGTCTCTCTCTGTGTTCACAGCCCCCAACATTTCCCCGACACAGCATTTTAACTTGGCTTTTAAATGCTTGTATACCCTTAGTTTCTTAATCTAGAACAGTTTCCTAATTTAATTTTCCTTGATTTAGATTTTGGTAAAGTGGTAACAGTGTTGTATTTCTTACACAGGAGTGTCCTTATTGTTAAGAAGAGCAATAGTACTTAGAGTGCAGTTGTGCAAAGCCTACTGCACCCATCTTGTACATAGATTCATAAACACACATAATACAGAAAGGGGGAAGAGGAACAGAGCAAATGTGAATGTTGAGTGTACCTTTTCTTTTCAGGGAGCTAAAAATGAGAAGTTTTTCTAAAGGAAGCCTATCAAGGAACGTCCCCAGACACATTGCCTTACCCCGAAGGCGCTCATCAGAGGTTATCTGGTTTGTCTGGCTCCAGGTGCTATCAATAAAGACCACTCTTTTCAATGCTGGGCCTTTGTGCAGGCTCTCATTCAAATCAGAGCCTCCCTCCGCCTCAGTTCTCTTGAGTTTAAAAGGTGGCACGTCAAGATCATCAGTTTTGCTTCTACTTTTACTTTCAATCCTTTGTTGCAGATGAAAAAAGACATCTTTTATTGAGATGGACTGAGGCCCAGGAAAAACAAGTACAACCTAAAACAAAGAAAGTCAGGTTAGCGCCATGCTGCTGTGATCTTCAACATAAATTCTGACTTAAGACTCTAAGAAAAAGAGATGATGAATGTCTAAAAAAATAAGCATTACATTGATTCCATTATTTGCTTCCTTCCATATATGGTAAAGTTTTAGCTTTTTCCTAATAGCATATAATCGTATTATACTACCTGGAGATGTTAATTCAAAATAATTTATTCACTAATTGACAAAGCCAAGTTAATGGTACCTTGAATTAAAACACACACACACACACACACATTTCTGTGGTATGGTGCTATACTCCTATAATCCCAGCACTTGAGATGCAGGGACATGAAATCAGGTTCAGCCTGGCTTCCTAAGAGTTATAGGCCAACCAAAGAGAAAAAAAGGCAATATACATCATACTTTCTAAAGACAACCACTGGAAACTATTCAAAGACTAGATACTATCTTCACTTGTATAATAAGGAAAGAGAAAATAAATAAGGCAGGTGAGGAAATGGTGTTGTTTTTTACAGCTATTACTGATGGTACTATACAACCGTATAATATAGTGGAGACTGTGAGATACACTTGTAGGCTTGATATCTACAAGATTAAGACAACAGGATCTTGAGTCTCAAGCCTAGCATGACTACACAGTGAAATTCTGTCTTAGAAATATATAGAGAGTATAATGGTGTGTTCTAATTGATCAAATAAATGGTATTTAACTGACCAGAGAACAATACACAAACATATTACTAGATCAAACTCAGATGTGATTTGTAGATATAACTTTCTAAATAAATTCAAATTATATAGACATATATATACTGTGAAAACATCACTGAAGTAAAATGCATATTTAGCAATAAATGAGCACAACACTAGATTGCTAAGAATAAGTTCAAATAAGTTCAGAAAGGAGATGGAGCTCCGAGCTCCCAGGAGGTCCTGAGTGCTAAGCCGCCCACCTCATGGTCCTTTCCTTCATATTCTGGGATGCACGGGTATGTGTAGATGCTCACGGAGTTAGGCGCTAAGAGCTTTGCGTGCACAGCGGTGCTTTTGCCGTCTGTTTCATTTGGATGCTTAATGATATCGATCTTCAGTGGAAGCTAAAGTAAAAAGACAAACAAAATGAGTATAAAATTCTGACTTTTATGTCAATACAAACCTCTGAAGCTACACATCAAGTTCACACCAAGTTCCTATGAGCACACTTCCAGCTGGAGGCGGTACTGGTTAGGCCAGAGTGCTAAGGATGGTAAGTCATCACAACCCCAATCGCTCCCTCGAGGCTGACCATGTGCCTTAGCAACTATTTCAGCACAGGCCACATGTACGCTGCTTTTAGAGCAACGATCCAGGACTGTTTTACTTAAGTCACGTATGCAGGAAGTCCAGTTCCTCACATCTTAGCATCAGTGCCAAGGACATCTTAAAAACTAATTTCTATCAACTCTAGAATTCAGATTTAAAATTCAAATAGAAATCCTGTTCATCACATATTTACAGTAGGATTTTATGATCTTTGGCAATGCATTTTCACAGCACAAACCAAGCTGCCCACAGGAAAAGCAGCAACAAAGTAAGCCTTGAGAGCTTTGACTAACTCTTCTCAAGTTAGACTCGATACAAGCCACACAGCAACACTTGTCCAAGTGTTTCCCTCAGTCAAGGACAGATTAATTCTTCTGTTCAAAAATAATAATTCTCTTGGGTTTCTTGAGCTAATTTGTTTATTTTTTATTATTTAAGTTTCTTCATTTCAGACTCTGTTGTTTGGTAAGTACATTTACCAAATCCAAGACCATCATTCCATTCAAAGAAGGTAAGAGCTCTACAAACAGGCGCAGAAAAGCAGTCATTTTACCCTGAAACAGAAAATTGTCCCAGCATAAAATCAAATATGCTACATCTACATTCTAATAGATCTTAATAATATTATATCTATGAACCAGCTGCCACAATCAAGAAAATGATCTGCCACTGTCTAAAAATTTCCTAGTATCCTCTCTTCTTTCTTTCCCACCTGCCAGTTGCCACCTTGATTCACTTTTTCCAGGATCTTATATAGATGGAATAATAAAATATGGTCTTTACATCTGGTGTCTTTAACTCAAAATAACAACTTTGAAATGCCTAGATACCGCTCATCATTTGTTCTACGGCTCACCCTATCCCATTAAAGACGAGACTTAAGTAGAGAGGCAGCCGTAAGGTCACAGGCCATGACTGAAGTGGGACAGCATTAGCAGAGACGGAAATCACACAAGGCAGCAAGATGGAGTCTTGTGGAGAGAGCCTCACCTTCGGAACCCAGAGAGGAGCTGCATTAGGAGACAGAATCTGCCTTGTGAAGAAGGACAGACGTCCGAAAGGGTGAGACGGACCCTTCGGGTGCCTCCAAGGCTACTTTTTAGAGGAGTGGTTGCTATACACTACAAAGTAAACCACATTTCCTTTCTTTTTCTTTCTGAACAATTATGTGAAGACAGGATGCTATAAACAGTATACCTCCAAGGGATGCAGGCACAAATACATACTTCACACAGCTTCCAACTAGGATTTCAACATCATTATTCTCTTTCATCCCACTCAGCCCAGGCATCATTTATGACACGGGGTCAATTGCATGAAATCAACATAACAATTTCTAACTGTAGGAAATGCATCATCTAAGTAGGCAGCTCACAGACAAGTTGATGAGCAGAGCTTAAAACTCCAAAGGCTCGCATTAATAGCTCTGATCGACTTTACATCAAGAACACAGAATGGATTTTAAAAATGAATAACAACCAAACAAGAACACAGAATCCAATGTTATTAATGAGTTTTGCAAATGATGTACACTAATTTAATTGTATAATGAAAAGGAAGTTTTATGGACTAAAATCTCCAATTACAAGACAATTTCACACAATTCACAAACTCAGGACCCAATCTAGGCCATCATCAGTGCATCAAGTGATGGGAATTTATACTCGTGTTCTGGTTCACCCATTTGACAGGAGAATCACATAAATACTGACATGGCAGAATAAACACTACAGAATTGACCAGACCAGAGGGCAGTCTGGAAGAGCTGGTCTACTTTGATCATGCAACAGGATGCCCATTTGTCTTCCAGTGGCTATGTTCTTAACAAGAGACTTAGCACACACGCTTCTGCTCAAATATATCAAGATGCCACCAGCAGGAAGGCACAAGTGCTTCCCCAAAGCAAGCCTTTTCAAACAGGGCTGCTGACGCTGGAGGTTTTGGGTTTCTCCCTTCTTTTTTATCTTTATTCATTTCTTATAGTTTTCAAATTCTGCATCGAATAAAGATATGTTTGATCTATTCTTGTCTTACTTTTCTGTTGCTATGGCAAAACCCCACGACCAAAATACTTATAAAAGAAATAGTTTATTTGGGGATAACAGTTTCAGAGCATTAGTCCATGACCATCTTAGCAGGGAGCAGAGCAGAGGGCAGTGGACATGGTGCTAGAGCAGTAGCTGTAGCTGAGGGTTCACATCTTAATCCACAACCACGATGCAGAGACCGAGAGCACTGGAAACTGCGCGAGTCTCTTGAATCTCAGATCCAGCCCCCAGTGACACAGCTCCCCTAATGAGACCTTATCTCCTAACTTTCCCAAAATTTGGGGATCAAGTATTCAAATACATGAGCTGACAAGCCATTTCCTTGCAAATTACAATTGCCCAGACTAAAACTTCAGGGGTAAGAGGGACTTACTCCTGTGTTCAGCTTCCCAAGCAAGCCCTCTGGCAGCAAATGCTGAAGGTTTCTTTAAAACTGAGGTGTAATTTACAAACAACATTGTTTGGACTATTTCTCTTAATGTATATCAATATATCAAATTTTATGGGCACTAAAATATACATTTTAGAAAACTATACAGTTGGTCAAATAATTGGCGTGGTTTTTAAGTACTTCTAGTAGATGGTGAGGACTGCCACTGGTTTGGAAAATAAACTTGTTACATTTCTATCAAAATAGTAGCCCTATAAATACAGCTTTTAGCTTTCTAATCTACAACCCTTTTTTGAACATACTTTAAGATAAAAAGGTTTTTTCTTTAATGTTTTTGAGACAATGTCTTTCTAAGTAACCCACGCCTGCCTCAAACTCACTTCATAGCCCATACTGGCATCAATCTCCTAACCAATCTGCCTCAACCTCCTGAGTTCTGCAAGTACACTTGGCCAGGTAAGGTTTTTAACAAAACGTTTTCTTTATGTGGCTGTGGCATAAACAGAAGATAGGACTCTGATGTGTATCGTTGCTATTAGTGAGGACATTAACAAAAATCCTTAATCTCAAACTTTTATTATTTTCTTTTCTGAGCAATCTGGAAATGTATTACCGCATTCTTGGCCAATAAACTTTGCCTTCATTTTTATGTGTGATTTTAGACTCCCCAGGACACCATGGACTTGCAAGATGATTCATGTAACAAAATAAGCATTAAATTGTCTTTCATAGTTCAAGTCTAAATAAACATTAAACATCACAATACATATTTCTGAACTCAACTTCAACTTGTTAGTGACAAGTCACATTTGAGCTAGGTGTAGAAGGGAATTCTCTAAAGTCGTAATACATGCTGATCATGCTTAATATACTTGCTTCTCACATTTGGGTCAATGCTAGGCAAGTTAACACATACATAATAAATTCTTTAATTACATGTAAATAATCCATTAACACTTCACTTACAAAAAGTCTTGATAAATACCACAAACCATGAAAAGCAATGGATTTAAGTCAGCTTTCCAAGTGGTTTGAAATCACCGTAATCACAACATAGTCCAATGTGAAGGGCCCAGCCCTTTACATTTTAGCTTAGTTTAGAATTGGCTGTGGCCATCTGCTCCATTCTACATATCCGATGGGGAAAGTCACAGAACCTCAGGCAAACTCCCACCTTGATTCTACCTATAATGTTTTCCCAAGGACCTGAAGTTGTTTTTGAAGCTTCTTCAAGTGAGACTATAAAACTGTCTTATGTAATTAATTTTTTAAACTGATTAATGTCATCAAAATTATCTAATTTATTTCAAACTCAAGTGATTTTTCTAGAAACAAGAAAGAGATATAGTTTCACCAGTGTCAAATTATCCATTAATACAATTCACTTCCAAGCTCATCCAATGTATCAGAGTAGGCATAAGCTATCTTTAAAACAAGCCTCTTACTTGTACAAGTGGAATCTGCTCAGTGGGCACATTTTCCACCGGGACATAGCAGGTGTAGCAGTAGAACATCCTAGAGCCACCGCACTGGAGGCACCGTGACCTCCCACTCCGCTGAGCCTTATGGAGCACTTCCTGAGATGCTAAGCGTAAGTTCTGAAGCGGGTCTTCTGAAGCTACGGAAGCAGTTTGGGATTGTTTTGTTTCCATACAATTTCCATGATTTTTTTCACTTTCTTGAGGGAATACAGATAGACGGAGAGCCATTCTTTCTTTGAACCAAAATGTTCTGTTTTTAAAAACACGTATCATAGGTGCACTGTAAAAACTAAAAGGAGAAGGCATGAAAAGTGTCACTCTTACAAATAAAACTGTCCATATAATTTACGCTGTTAGGGTTAGCATTTACCAACAGATATTACTAAGTTAAAAACCCACTGAATTGAAATCCTTGAAAATACAAAATTGAAAAACAATCAACTCAAAAGAGCAATTTCAGTTTCTCTTACCAACTATTCTTCCAACAGAAAATGGAAACGTGCTCTATTAAAAACCACTTCAAACATAAAATTTAGACACCGGTGGTCCATTTTGATAGTACCAATTTGTCTCAAATATGGCAATTCTGATTTAAAAATATTAAGAATATAATGAATTTCTGTTCGTATCATACAGAAAAACATTCAAGCATGCAGACTCTAGCTTTGAATTGACACCCGTGACAGAACTCTCACAGTGAACTCCCATGAAAAGAACAGTGGCGTGAGCGAAAAATCAGTTGGCTGTTATGAGCTATTATGAACACACACGCCTTTCTTCTTCCCCTGATTCTCTGACCACTGTTCTGCTTAAAGTTCCTTCCCAGGGCAGGTCATAGAAAGTCTAAGTTTAGACGGTTCCACTTTCATAGTAGACGAACAAATGCCCGTTTCAAAATGGGTTCTGCCCTACACCTTGGAGGAAGGACAGCTGAAGAACCCGACAGACCCTGATGGTTCCCTTTCACTCTGCTACCAGGTCAGCCTACAAAACACTCTCAGTAAGAACCCAAGGCAGGGGCTTCTGGGAGCTTCTGGGCAGTTGACTATGCAGGGGCTCACACAAGGGGAAGTCATTCACACACCGTAGGGCAGTAACACCTCAACTGCACTGGGAGGAAGTGCCTGAGCATGGGGCTCTTCCCTACTTCTGCCTGCCTGTATGTTTCAATCTGCTCAAATATCCTTCATAATAACCAGTAAATGCAAGCATTAATGTTTCCTAAGATCTGTGGGCCACACGAGCAAATCAAATGCATCTAAACAGGGGTTGAAGGAATCTCAGCCTGTAGTTAGTTGGGAGGAAATTCTGAAGGCCCAGCTTGGGAGTGGTTATGAGGATGCAGCAATCTTGGGAACTGAGCTGTCAGCCTGTAGACTCTGACACTGTCTTCCGTAATGTCAGGGCTGAATTTGAGAACATCCGCTAGCATCCACCATAGAATTACTGCTGGGGGGAAATCCCCACACCTTTTGAGATCACCAGTATCCATGATGATTATGGAGTGAGAGAAGAAGAAAACACACCATTCTGTTCTTCCTAACATACACATGCTCTACAAGATATATTCCACTCCAACTATAATTAGTCAACCATAATACACCTGCTAACGCTGAAACAGCTATGGACAACTGTATTTGTAAATATAAATATAAATAAAAAAATATATATGTATATATGTATATGCCATAAGGCGAAACATATGATCTTAAGCCTCCTGAATTTTTCAAAAGTACATACCCTCAGACACTCTAGTAAAGAAACAACAATGTAAGAACTTCCCCACTTAATATTTTCTGTGCAGGTTATGTATATGCATGTGTGTGTGTGTGTATGTGTGTGATGACAATTAATGAAAAAGAGGACATGGGGGATATAAGTGCATACCTAAATATGTGAAGAGAGACACGGCTGGAGTCGTGGGGGACTGGAAAGACTTGGGAAACAATGGCTACTCCCAAGAAACCAACACACGAGCATCTTAATGATCTATTCATTATGCAACTTAGGCTGAAAAAAATAACTTATAATTCTTCCTTCTACCCAATGTCTCCAAAATTAATCACATTCATGCAGTTTCATCTTGTCTCCTCTTGCACATAACATCGATACTTAGGCACAAAGTCAGATTCTAATTCAGTTCCTTATTAATCCACACAGACAAAGCCCAGTCTTACACTTCTGGGTACTTATTACTCAGTCCACATATTTGATATGGAGAAATGTATTCATTTAGAGGCTCCTTTCAGGAAAACTTTCCTTCTGGCAAAAGTAGAATTCTTTCCGATTTACCTATTTATGATTTTTTTTATACTTTTAGATAGATTCAAATACTTGTCAACAGATTAAAACCATTCTGTAAAATGCATTCAGGATGAATCTCACTACTCAACTTTCGGGCTCTGCACAGCCTGGTACAGATGGCAGGCTAATACTTAACTTTATTTTCCTCAAAGTGAAGTAAAAGGTTAGCTTTTCCATTACAGTAAGTTGATTTGCCTCCTAAGGGAACAGTCTTTAAATTTCACCTATCTTGAATTGTGAACTATTTCAGGATCACACAAAACCGTTTTCAATATCTGTTTGTGAAGTACTAAGAATTGGTCATGTAATTTGTACAGGCACAATAACCACTTTTTAAAACATCCGAGATATCTCCATTTTTTTTTTTTAAACACCGAACTAGAAGCCTCCTCCACAGAACTGGTTATATGACAGGCAGTGTGTCTTACAAGCTTTAATTTGGAGTCCAATCATAAGCAGTCCTGAAATGCTGCAAGGTTAGGTAGGCATCGCTACTCCTACCCAACCAAAGGGGAACTATCAATGCAAAGTCTTGTCTTACATTCCCAAGAAACAGACACTAGAAACGCGTCTGCTTATTGGCTGATGGTAACAGCATACACACCCCTGTCTTCCTCCTTCCATGACCACCCTCAAACCACTCCAAAGCCTGAATTACATAATGGCGCTCACAGGGAGCTGGCCCTGCCAGGATTGAGCTCCCCGAGTTGGGAAGCCTGGTAAATCGTCATTTAGGCCTCAAACCATTGAATCTGTCCCCACAGGCACGAATCGCGGCGCTTGCCAGCAGTAGGACCTCCGCGGGGACCCCGGCCCCAGCTACCCGACCCGAGGGAAGGCCGACCTGCTCCACGCCGAACTCGCGGTCCACACCGCCTCCGCTCCGCGCGCCCTACCCGGAGCGCTTTCTGCAGGACACCGCTGGGCGGGAGCTGCGGTTGCCAGGGCCACGGTGACGCTAAGCGCTGCGCATGCTCGGAGGGAGAGTCCTGCGGACAAGCCGGTCGACCTCCTTCCGGAAGGGAAGTCCCGCCTTTGTTTTCTCCGTAAACTGCCCCCTTAGGAACCGTGGGCTTCCGGCTGTACTGCCCGCAGTGGCCACGCTGAGGAACTAGGAACGAGTGCCAGAAAAGCACTTTTGAGGTAGTTTCCCTGAGTTGGTGAGAAAGTGCTAACTCCTCAGAACACTCCGCTTTACCCCCATCCTAATATTATATTCAAGAGAACTCAGACTTGTAGCTTTATGTGGCTGTGTCAGGTAGTTAATGCTCGGTAGATGTCAAAAAACACGCAGAGTTGGCACCTACTGTACTTTTGAATATATGTGGATAACTTTTTTTTTGTGTGTGTGGTTTTTCGAGATAGGGTTTCCCTGTAGCTTTTCGAGCCTGTCCTGGAACTCTCTTTGTAGAGCAGGCTGGTCTCGAACTCACAGAGATCCGCCTGCCTCTGCCTCCCGAGTGCTGGGATTAAAGGCGTGAGCCACCACCGCCCGGCTGTGGATAACCTATTAAATCATCTTTCTATGCCCCACCTCAAAGAAACCTAAAAAAATATTATTGAGTTAGAACCAAAACTATCATATATCAAACAATTTATTTAGTGTGTGGTGAATTATGAGAAACTAGCAAATGGGAGGAAAAGAATAGAGCCTCTGTGGACTTGTTTGGCACCTAGAGCTACTCCTCAGGGTCCTCCATGGCCGCTGAAGGTCGTACTTGCCTTTGGCTATTTAGCGCAGGACCTTCTAGGCTCCAGAAGACCCTGTGGGCTAAGAAATCTGTAGGAAGACAAGCCTACCTTGACCTGAGCAGCTAGGCTGTCGATTCCAATGATCCTGTCCACTGTCTGGAGATCTTCAGTTTAGATGAAAGGCAGTTTTGTCCAGTGGTCAGCGCTTGGCAGTTGAAGTGAATTGCGGAAGGACATTGTTCTGTACCCATTTGTCTTCTGTCTTCTTTGGAGGAAATAGAGTGCTGCTGCCAAGAGCCAACCCGTCTCTTTTTGTTATGAAAAGTTTTTTTAATAATTAAATATTTAAATGCCATATTCCCCAGATCTCTGAGCAGTTGAGGGCTGTGTACTAAGTATAGATAAATTATAGAATCTGCCTGGAGAGCTGGGTCCAAGCTTGATTATACTGGCTCTCAACAGGTAAAGCAGGGTTGAATTAAGAGACTTAAAAGTACATACCAATTTAAAACATGAGACCTATTGCTTTGTAGTGTGTAATGAGATAGAAGGAACAGACAATTATAACATTTAACAGTAAACATAGGTGCATTTAAGTTATATGTATGTACACACACATACAGTGACTGGGAATTGGGCAAAGTGGATGTTCTTGGTAGGCCCTACAAAGGCACTCCACTGCGCAAAACACACATGTGACAGTCAGCACCGGGGAACCAGGCAGGGAATACCTCAGGAAAGATGACAGAACTTGGTCACCTGACCTGGCTCTCAGTTAAGATGGCCATAAGGTCACCTGACCTCAGTTAAGATGGCAGCAGTCACATGTATGGAGAAGCCAATTTTTTTTTGAGCCGTGGGAGTTTTGCCTGGAGGTGTGATCCACCCTGTTGCCGAGCTGCCATGCCACAAGCCATAGTGGGGAGCAAAGGCTGAAATTGAAAAAAGAAAGGTGAAAGAAAAATCCGGGAGACCCTGGGCCCCCAAATTGAATGTACTGCACAGTGACCCTGGGTCATTCACTCACATTTTTAGCTATGGAAAGCAACCAGAAATGAATGCCCCTATTTTCTTGGGGGACTTCCATCAGATGAGACAGCATGGGAACACTGCACGGCTGTCTGTGAAGTTCAGAAGCCTGGGCTGCTTATTTGTTTACGACAGTTAGATGAAATCTGTATTAGGAAAATCTAACTCAGGATGGTAGGAATTAGTGTGGCCATTCTGCATAAAAGAAAGACTAAGTCTGTGTCATTTACCCAAGAGTAGGACCAAATTATTCAAAAGAGTTCTAATCTCTCTTATTTAATCCATATGTATTATGAAAGAGCCTAATCTAAGAAACAGAGGTTAAATCCATAGTCCTGAGCAGAAACTGCCCTCTTTCTGAGTCAGGATCTTGCTAAATGACCTAAGAAGCCCTCAGACTTGGAATCCTCATGTGTCAGCTTGCTGAGTAGCTGGGATTACAGAGCGGTCCCATTGTCTTCTTCATGCACTGCTATTCAATCTCTAGATTATAAAATCTTTAATGTCTTGATAGTAGTTTTTACGTCCTTGTCTGCTTATTACAGTAGGTGTCTTCCCAAGAACTTGATTTATACTGGCACCATTTCCCTTGGATTATGGAGTCTCATTTTTCTGCCTTGGGTTGTTCTGTATTGTTTTACTGTTGAACATTATGTAACAATCATTGTGGAAAGCAGCCGAGATTTAATTGTCTTTAGTTTTGGAACACACAGGCATTTTTCTTTATTTGGCTTTTAGAGTAAAAGGCTGGCTGGTCTAGAATCTTCTTGGAGTTGAGTTGAGCTTAGGGTTAGCTGTAACTTTAATTGGATCAAGCTTATTTGGTAGTAACTAACCCTCCAACCTCTTCTAATTACCGCTTGTTTTCTTGATATTTGAACTAGGAGAAGTTGGGAGTGACTGTGGGGATATTTTGCTTGTGCTTTAACAAATCAAGCTTGCCTGGGGATCAGAGTGCAGAGCTAGCCACACTAGTCAGCCGTAGAGGACAGGCAGTGCTGGCATCCACCTTTAATCCCAGTACTTTGGAGACAGGGGCAGAGGCAGATCTCTGAGAGTTCAAGGCCACCCTGGGCTACACGAGATTGAATCAGTGTAAAAGAGAAACAGAGTTAGTGGTGGTGGCTCACTCCTTTAATGTAAGCACTGTGACGGCAGAGACCGGAGTGATATGGCTGAGCAGAGAGAGGAATATAAGGTGGGAGGAGACAGGTGCTGAGGATTCAGTCTGAGGTTTCATAGAGATGGCATTCTGTTCAAGGATTTGTAGACAGTCTGAGGATTTCATAGCGGTAAGAACTAGAGGCTGGATGCTCTGCTTCTCGGATCTTTCGGCTTTCACCCCCTAATATCTAACTCCGAATTTTTATTATTAAGACCAATTAGAATTTACACCACAAGTAATGGTTAATTTTTTTCAACTCTGCTCAGACTGAAATTTAAAGCTGTAAGAATATACCAATCTGTGCAGCTTTCCTTGTGCATACTCTTCCTCCACTATGACTTTGTTGACAACATTCACAAGTGATGTTCAAAAGTGACACAGAGGGGCGTTATTTAAGTCATCTGCTTTTGTGCTTGGGTATCTTTGCAGTTTGTTCCCTGAACTCATACTGACACCTAAGGCCCAGCTGATCTCTCTGCATCTCCACGTTTAAGATGGCAGGCCAAGTTAAGGTACAGTGGCAGCAGAAGCCTGCCCCTCTGGTAAGGAACTGTTGTGGATTTGTGCTTGTTTATAGAGAGTATGTTCTGTCTAGATTTCAGGTCATCAGCAGGGCTGGCTTCGTGGGCTTGTCCTACTGTTGACCTGAGCTTGGTGCTGAGAGGAGCCCTGTGTGTAGCTTAGTGCTTTGGCTTTGTTTGGTAAGTTGGGAATAAAGTGTTATAACCTTGACCCATCATGGTTATAGTATCTGCTGGTTTTTATTAACACCTAGGAAAGAATGCTTTGGATATGACCTGGTTTTTTTTTCCTTATTACTTCCATGGAACAGCACTCTGCTTTTGTGAGATAGATGCTCATTTACCTTCTTGTTCCTTACCTCCTTTCCATTTTCTTCCAGACTGAGAATTTCATATAGAAGTTGGCCAAGTTTTCTATGCAAACTTAACTCCTTCAATTATTTTTTTCTATTATAATTCAAGTAAAATGTGATATTATTTTTATTTTATAATTGGAATAATTTGAAAACCATTAAGAGAAAAATAAAACATTTAAATTTATTTTTTCTAAGCCTTTTATTTACTTGTCCCTCACATCTCTTCTTCAGTCTTCTTAGCCCCAGAGCTCCATGTTTTTGTTAAGACTCACCTGACTTCATTTATTCTTGTTATTCTCTATAATGTTTGCCTTTATTATTGATTTTACTATAAATTGTATATTTAATGATATCTATCTATTTAAATAATATTAAGAGCATGAAATACACTATTTAACTCCAAATGTGTAGTTAGTTTTACAGTATATAGCCCTGTGGTCTTATAAACTGGCCCGTTTGTTGGTGAATGTGCAATAAGTGTGGTAGTTCAAATGCAATTCCATTCTTTTCAGCCTTGTCATCATAGTTATTAAGGAATTAGATTTATGGATTCTTCTTCTCTCTCTCTCTCTATGGCTTCTCCTCACTGTATTTTCATTCTCTAGACATGTTAGCATTTTTCAGACACCTAGATACTTCTCCCATGTATCTATTTACTTACCTATTCATCACATGATGCATACAGCAAGTACTTACAGGCTTGCGACAGTCACTGTATATAATCTGTGTGATTCAATTATAATGTACATAGTCTCTGTTTCTCTAGAGACAGGAATCTGCTCAATGTTACCCCGAAGAAACTTTGTAAGGTTCAGAGGGTGAAACTTCCTTGGGGAATAAAAAGTGACTTTCTTTTTTTGTCTTTTTGAGATATTTTGTTTTAAAAGGGGTATTTCTGAATAGTTAGATTGGTCTTGAATTTTCAAGCTTCCAACTAAAAGTGACTTTTAATTTGATATTTTAATAGGGATCTGAATAGGTCCAGAAGGGCTTGGAAAGAGAGAGTTTTAGACAGCGAATTATCTAAGCAAAAGGAGGAATGTGTACGAAGTCTCTAAGAGAAGGACTCGGGGTTCATCTTGATAAAATTAGTCTATTATTGAGTACATTTTCAATGTACAGAGAAACTAATACATAATAAAAATGGAATTATGAATTGTTAGCCTGAAACCTCTATAGTATATTCACAGTTTCCTGTGACTTCCTTGTCAACAGAGGAATATTTATTATATTTCTGGCTCTGAGTTTATTATGGATACAGTCCACAATAACTCAAAATATCTTGGAACTCTTGTTGGAATTTGAAATGAGAACACTCAGCAAGATTCACATTGGGATTTCTTGTAGAGGCAACATTAAAACATTTATCTATGTCCCCTTTCAAAGAACCTAGACTTTGCAAAGTGCACAAATGAATGTTTTATAGTATCTTACAGCTCTTAAACTTCTAATTTAAGCACTGTATTTGCTTATGGGTTTATATGTGTTAAGTACAATTAGAATTAATGCTGTTGACTGATTTTGCTTCATTAGAAATGTCTAGATCCCCCAAAGACCTATGAAGAATTCTTAAAGTCTCAAAACTGGGTGAGTAGAGCATCCTATCCTCATTTCTCTTCTAATAAACTTTTTAAAAACATTAGATATGGAAATTAAATAATCAAAATGTTTTCACATATTTATTTCCTTTCAGCGGACCATACATAATTTCCAGTTGCTTTTAACAATAATGTTTTCACATTTTAAGAACCGTTAGCCCTATGCATGCAATTCTGTGTACTTTCCTAAGATTTTTGTCTTATGTATTTTTACCTTTAAGAAAATCTGACAATTACCCTTACTTAGCCACTCATCACAACTAATACTCACAATAGTTTGTAGAAAACTTACACCAATATTCTTTGATTATTGAATCAAAGTGAAATATTCAAAATAAGTTTTCATATGGTTATGTATAATTACCAAGTCTTTTTGGAGTTCCTAGGATTCCTGAGGAGTTTTCTCTGGGGATCAGCTGAGCTCACTTGTTTGCAAATGTGAAACTAGGGTTTGTCATACTTTGAGGTGTGTCAGATAGAGGTTGGAATAAAGATGTCAGTTTGAAAGATAGGTGACATTTTATTGAATGTGTTGAAATTTAATAAATTCAAGTATAATTATTTCTACTTATGTAAAATATGAGCAGAATTTGCTATGAAATTATTGCAATGAAATTTTATGTGGGTATATGTGTTTAAATGAGTGCTTTTGTCCCAGTATTTTGAGAAAGAATTTCATTTAAAAATAAAATAAATAAAACCAGTTTCTAAAAACATTTCTTTTTTTATTATAAACAAATTTTTATACAAAATATTCTGATCAAGGTTCCCACTTTGCCCAGCTCCTACCAGTTCTTTCCCATCTCCTCATCCACTCAACTCCACACCATTTCCTTCTCTTTCCCTTTAGAAAGTGAACAAGCAAGCAAACAAAAACAAAAAGAAACAAAACAGAATTTAAAAACCACAAAGAGCACACACACACACACACACACACACACACACATACACCTCATAAAAACAAAATCAGAAACTATAATATGCAAGTAAAACAGCAGTAAGACCAAAAGTTCCCAATAAAGCAATTCGAGTCAAAAAGTACAAAAGTGTCTTTGAGTCATTTTGTGCCATCTATCTACGGCTAGGCACGAGCCTACATTTAAGTGTAGTTAAGATGCCAAAGACATTCCATAGGAGTAAACCAATTTTCCTTTACAAGAGGTGTCAATTGCAGACACCTTCTTGTTTGAGGGCTGTGTCCTGTGTCCACTTCCCTCAGCACTGAGATCCATTTCGCCTTGAACTTGTGCAGGCCCTATGCTTGCTGCCACAGTCTCTGTGAGCTCACCGTTTCTTTGGACTCACCCATCCCCTCTGACTGGTGTAATCTTTCTGCCTTCTCGTCTACATAGTTCCCTGAGCCTTGAAGGGAGGAGCTTGATGAAGACATCCCATTTAGGATGTTAATGTTCCCAAATCTCTCTCTGTGTGGTGTCCATTTGTGGGTCTCTGTGTTGGTTTCCATCTACTGCAAGAAGCTTCTCCGATGATGGCTGAGTGAGGCCCTGGTCTATGGGTAGAGCAGACTATCTAGGAGTCATTTCATTCCTATACAGAACAGTAGTATTTGGTTTTCTGCTAGGCCCATGACCTACCCAGTCTGAGGCCTATAACCAACCAAGCAACAATGTCAGGCATGGGTGGCGCATGGAGTGAGCCATAAATACAAAGACAGTGGTGGTTACTCCTACATTTGTGCCCCTGCTGTACCAGCATTTCTTTTAGGCAGGTCACTGTTGTAGATTGCAGGGTTTATAGTTGGGTTGATGGTTACCTTTCTCCTCGGTAGAGTACAGAATATCTTCCAGTACCATGGACACTAGACCATAGGGGTAAAAGGTCTAGTCAGGCACTGTTCAACGAGACATGCAAGTGTTGTCTTCAGCATTAGGGCCTTATCATCAGTTTATGAAGAGCAACCAATAGCCATGGCAATAGCCTGATATGTGGGGTCCCTTTGGCTAAAGACTCAACTAGATAGAACTCTTACTGGCCCTGGAGGTTTCACATTTTGGTGAGCCATGTCCAGTTGGGACATTGTCTCCCTCGTTACTTAGTGACTCCATTTATATTTCTTTTATATAAGTATTTATTTAACTAAGTGTCTATGGCCTTTAGTGTCAGTTGTCCCTCCGCATAGTCCCTCTTTTACCACTCTTATCTGTCCCTCCCCATTATTCTCCCACTCCTATCTCAGCCTGGTCTCTCCATAACTATATATTCAATTTCCCCTTCTTTGGGGCATCCTCCATGCTGGCCCCTTACTTGAAACCTAACCTCTGAGGCTGTGCAAATGGCGGCATGCCTATAGAAGGCTTAAATGCTAACATCCATGTAAGAAAACTTACAATATTTGTCTTTGGAGTCTGATTACTTCACTCAGGATGCTTGTCTGTCTCTTCCCATTTACCTTCAATTTTTATATTTTGTTTAATAGCTGAATAGTATTTTATTGTGTATGTGTACTACATTTTCACTATCTGTTGAAGAACATTTAGGTTGTTTCCCTGTCCCAGCTATTGTTAACAGAATGACAATGAACATGGTTAAGCAATTTACTAGCCCTGGGTAGATAATTAGGTTTCCAGTACCAGGCAAGATTTCTTTCTTGTTGAGCAGGTCTTAAATTGTATTAGAGAGAGCCGTGGCGCACACCTTTAATCCCAGCACTCTGAAGGCAGTGGCAGGTGAATCTGTGTGAGTTTGAGGACAGCCTGGTCTACAAATAGAGTTCCAGGACAGACAGGACTGTTTTACAGAAAAACCCTGTCTCAGAAATAAAAAATAAATAAATTGGATTAGAGAGCTGTTAAATACCAAGCTATATGTACCATTATTGAACCCTTAGAGTTATTTTGCCATGCTGGTTGTCTCTGTAGTTCATAGCATTGTAGTTGAGTAAATCTGTTGGTTACCTCCCTTCTTTAGAAGCCTGCCTGGTGCCTTATGGTAGCATGAAAGCTACTTCTCAGGGAGAAGGTTTTTAGGTCAGTTGTAGCTCAGAGGCCTCTGGGTCATGCCTCTGAAGTGTGTGCCATCTTGAGTGTAGGCACATATTTCTATATGGTGTGGCGGACAGGCACAAAAGACATAGGCTCTTCAGACAAGCTGTGTCTGCCTAGCAATAGCCAGGATGCTCTGCTCCTTCTCTTTTGTTATAAATGTAGATCACCTGGGAAGAGGTGTTGGCTGAAGTTGGTGACCTAATGGTCAGGATGTTTGGCGCTTCTTCCTTTGTAATTTGGAGGATATCTTATAGAGATGCTAATTCAGGCCTACGTGACAGCTAGCATAGAGGTAGATGCGGATATGACAGAAGGCCATTTCACCTGGTTACCTAGCCGACAGCCTAATGTATTTTCCCACTCAATTGATGTGATGGTATCTAAGCTGTTTGGTTAATAAATGCGGGAGGTCGTCAGGAGAAAGAGCCCTAAGATGCCCTTCCATGATGACCATATAAGTTGTGTCTAATTATTCCTTGCGACTCTGTACCAGTCCCAGTTAGGGAAAACAATTACCTGTGTTGGAGTGACACGGCTCCAACACTTCAGTAATAGGGACTTCTCTTCCATCTCTGGAGCACAACCAAGGGCAACAGCAATAGAATGTTTTGGGAATCTCTTGGACAACTCTGGATAACAACTCAAAAGTTGGCACCTCATTCCTCATGTGGGGGTTTTGATAGATCATCTTTAGCTCTTGGAGGGAGCCTTGTCAGCTCAGATGAGGAAATTTCATTTGAACTATATATGTTTATGTGCATGTATTGTAGGGTTATTTTTAGGTACTAATAGTGTGATTACTTATGACATGTTTGGATCAGCAAAACATACAATCATGTGTATAAACCTTAAAAAATGCTAAATGAAATAAACCAGACCCAGAAAGACCATTGATACGTTTTCAACTCACACAAGGATTCTGAAACAGTAGAACTCAGTAGCAGAGAATAGCCTAATGGTAGCCAGGAACTTGTAGGAATAAGAGTGGGTATGTATTGAAGGATATAAAAGTTTCTATTCTATAATATGAATATATACTAGAGATCTAGTAGACATATGGTGACTCTAGTTAATATATTTTAGAATTGCCAAGACAATAGTTATTAAATTTCCCACCATACAAAAACAGGCAAAACCTACGTGAAGCAATGAGCACGTTCTTAGCTTTATACTTAACTAGTCATCCCAAAGTTTATACAGATATTAAAACATGGTTTTTTTTTATCATAAATGTGATTAACTTTGCATATTACCTGTCAGTAAGGCTGGAAAAACTAGAAGGAAAACCACACAGCTATTGTGCCCCTTAATTCTTTCTCTTTCTTTCCTGACAAATATTGAGGGGTTAGTTAGAAATGGACTAATGCTAAAAGAATTGAATTCTAAATCCTTATGATTCTAAATTTAGTCTTTATCTATAAAAAGCATCATTAGATCAACTGATGAAGTTTCAACAAAGTTTAATTTGGATAGGGAAACTGCATTAATACTAATTTTTTGATTCTTATAGTGCTATTACAAGGAGGATGCTTTCAATTTTTCAGAGATACTGAAGTATTGCGGGATATTGGGCCATCAAAGCAGCAATCTATGCTCAAATGATCCCCTAAAACATGTTTCTAGAAAATTTTTTGCAACTTTTGTGAGATTTTTAATTGTCTTGAAATTTAACCTTAAAACATTTAACAAAAATCATGCCTTAGAGTAAAATTTCCATTTTAGCTCATTGAACTCTGATGTAAATGTATTTAAGATGATGTAGACTGTGTGTTGATGCAGGACTACTGGCCCAGGGATATTCACTTCAGAGACAATGATATCTGGGAAGATGCGCTGAGGAAGCTGGAAGAGGACATCTCATTTGACTCCATCTACTCCTCCCTGTGGAGCAGTGTGCCCCGGACCTTTGAGGCCGTCAGCACCATGGAGTTCAGACTAAGACAGTGCTCATGGCTTTTGCAGCAGCATTCCTCCAATTTATTCGAATGCAGCGGAATGATTTCCAAGAAAAGTAAGATTTATTTTTATGTAAATAAATGATGGTCTGTGGCGTGTTTGTGTGTGTGTGTGTATGTGTATATGTGTGTATGTGTGTGTGTATGTGTGTGAGGTGAATGAGACTGACTCCTTTATATCATTTTCAGTACCTTCTTTTTTGTATCCTGCCATTTTGTTGGAAGATTTATCTGGTCTACAAGCCTTTTGACAGACTCTTTATGGTTTCTTGTGTGTAGAATCACATAATCTGTAAATAAGGATTTTCTTATTTCTTCCTTTTCTATTCCTATGCCTTGTACTTTTGTCTCTGGCTGTCATGGTGTAGGCAGCACTTCAAGCACTGTGTTGAACAGAGAGAGTAAAAGCTCTGACCCTCGCTCCTGGTTTGAATGGGATGCTCTGAGTTGTCCTGCATTAGCATCAACTTTCCCTAGGATTCCTTCATTGTGTCCCATAGATTGTGGCACGCTGTGGTTTTGGTTTCATTCACATCCAGGATTTCCCCCCCTTACTGATAATCTTCCTTGTCTAATTACTGTTCAGTAGCAGTGTAGCTTCCTTGAGTTTGTGTGCTTTCTCTGGGCTCTATTGCTGTTGATATCTGGCTTTGGTCCTCTATGGTCGGATAAATGCAGGATGTTATTTAACTTTCCTACATTTGTTTTGACTTGCTTTGTGTCTTATTTTGTGATCATTTTTGGAGAAAGTTTATGGGCTGCTGAGGAGAATGAGCATTCTGTTATGTTTGGTTGAAATGTCCTGTAGATGTTTGTTAGGTCCATTTTATTTACCATGTCATTGACTCCAGTGTTTCTCTGTTTAGTTTCTGCGGGTGAGGCTTTCCACTGACATTTTGATTTGGCTTATTAAGTTTTTCACTTCTAACATCATTTCAGCTTGAGTTTTCTCTGACAATTCCCTCTCCTTATTAAATTCTATATTTTTGTCTCAGAATGACTTCTGCATTTCATTCACCTTTTTGTTTTTGCTTTGTTTTCTTTGAGTATATTGGTATCCTCTTTGAGTTGTTTGAATATAGTTAAATCATTCTTTTGAATTCTTTGTCCATAATATCTTCCAGACCATTCTCATTGCAGTTTGTTATTAAAGGATTAATTTGGGGGACGCATCAAAATGTGTTTTTTTCATGTTACTTTGGTCCATCCTTTGGTACCTGTGCACCTGCCCTGGGTTGTTACTTGAGGCTCTTTGTTCAGATTACTTTCGTTCTCTTTCAGTGTTGGCATGCATTCATTCATGAGACGATTAGGAGGAAGGCTGAGGTGACCAGATTTCGGGTAGATGACAGTAGGAAGACAAGTGATCTCAAAGGCCAGGGATACATCATTACCAACCAGTTGTCCAGACAGCAGCAAAGCCTCCCTCCTGTGCTGACTCAGGGACCTGCTAAAGCCAAAATTCCCAGTCCCATCCTGGCTTCTCCACTGTCTTGTTCATGACTTAGCAGCAAAGCCTCCCTCCTGTGCTGACTCAGGGACCTGCTAAAGCCAAAATTCCCAGTCCCATCCTGGCTTCTCCACTGTCTTGTTCATGACTTAATGAGTCAACCTGTTAAACAGAATGCTTGAACACATTGATACTGGCTATGTTAATAAAGCCTGCTCTGTTTGTTATATAAATTTGATTAGTTATATAGTTTAGATATTTAATATCCTTTGACTTTATATTTTTCAAATCCAAAAATGTGTTTAAGTTCATATTTAAATTCATAATTTAAATTTTTCATGTTGAATTTTTAGATTATAAAAATTCATTTATTTTATAGAAGGTATATGTGTAGTATATATGTACCTAATTAATATATATTTATATTTACATATCTCTTACATATGCATATATAAACTATATATGTAACTTTTATATAAATACATATATTATTTTGTAAAGAAAATATCTGTGAGTAAGCAGAGAGAATATGAAAACTCTCCTTTCATAACTTCCTCCTTTAAAAGTATACATATATATATACACACAAAAATATGTGTATATATATATGTATGCAAATATATATACACATACATACATATATACACATCGTTTTCCGTGTAAGAATATCAGAGGTAGTTTAAGATCTTACACTGTATAAATCATTTTGCACATATCTTTCACTGGGCCATTCACCATGGTACTGCATTTTGTTGAATTTAAGGTAATCTTGAAACTGGCAAATCTATGTAGCTGAATGATTTTTAAAAAAAAAAAGTGACTTCTTTGTTAGATCTCAGCTGAGGTAAAATGTTAGCTACTATAGTACCACAGCCATGGTAGGTGGGCTTGATGTTTTGGGAAAACAAAAGGAATTAGAAGATAACAACAGTTCCACTATTTACTAAGGGTGTGTGCTTGTCAAAAAATTTTAATTAGTTTCATTGACTAGTTTTATATATAATTAGATATCTAGAATTTTCCTGTTTTTTGATTTTTTTTCACTGTTGCCAATTCCTTTTTCTTAAAGGTTCACATATAAATCTGGAAAAATACAAGGCCTTCTTAAAAGAACACTGTAGGCAGAGGAAGATAATGGTATGGTATTAGTGTTTACCATCTCTCAAAAATGTATTTTCATAGGAAATGTAAATGCTGTTGCTCTACAGATAAGAACTGATAATGCTTTAAAACTGTTCTAGGACAGGCTTCAAAGCCACAGAGAAACCCTGTCTCAAAACAAACAAACAAACAAACAAACTGTCCTTTCAGTCTTTGTTAAGCAGCATTTCTGCTTGAAGATTTAGGAACTTATTTTTTGATGCTCAATGTTATAGCCCTGAAATCATCACTCATAAGTTAGTTGAGATTTATTTTACTAGATGTATATTATATAATACATATGATTTATGTAATATATAATAATATGTATTGTGTGATATATGCATGCATATATATGTACGTATATGCAAGTTTTCCTGTCCTGCAGCTACCCTCGAATAAACACAGAGACTTCTGTTAATTATAAATGCCCAAGCAATGATTCAGACTTATTATGAGCTAACTCTTATATTGAAATTAACCCATATTTCTATCTATACTTTGCAACATGGCTTGTGGCTTATTACCTGATTTTTTTATATGTCCTGCTTTCTCAGTGACTGACTGGCTTCTCTGGCGACTCTCCCGACTCTACCCTTTTGACACATCATTCTTTCTGTGTCAGGCTTTCTTACCCAATCTCTTCTTGCCCTGCTATTGGCCAATCAGTTTTTATTAACAATGAGCATAATCTATAGCATGCATATATGTGTATATCTCTTTATTTGGTTCTTTAATAAGTGATTATGTGAACCAAAACTTTATTAATTATTGCCAAGTATAAATATTTTGGGGGTTATTTATCAGTATTTTAAATAATTTTAATTTAGAATTTTAAATATTTTGTTTTGAAATTTTCCAGCTTTCTGATGAAATGGAGACAGAGAAGAATATAGAGGTATTCCAATTTTCTATACTGCCAGATTATGTATCAGGTATATTATATAGGGCCACAAGAATGCTTATAATGCTATAGATGTAGATATAACTATAAATTTGTACTCTAGGAAAGAGAGTTTAGGACAGGCTTAGAAAACTTTCTGTTCTACCCTGTTCTTGTGTCTTTATGCATAGCCTATCTAAAATATTTGATATTTTGAGTATATGCCAAAACATGTTCTAAAATATGATCCCATTTTGTTTTAAAATTTGTATTACAAATATACAAATGCTTTTAATTTCTCAGAAACAAAATAGATGAAAATTTTTCCTAGGATAAATATGTAATTTTTGATGTAGTAACATAAAATAGCATAATTATGTTTGTTAAATGGTAAATATTTGTCTTCTGAAGTATATTAAGAAGAGAAATAATTTTTGTTAAACAACATTTCCACTTTTTTCTAGGGTTGCAACTTCTCAGGATTCAAAGAAAATGAACTAACGCAATTACCCAGACATCTGGATGCTAAACAAATTTATCTTTTTATTTTAAGAAACAATAACTTTGAGGTATATAAATATTATTTTATTTTTATCCTATAGTAAAACTTGAGAATGTGGTCTCATGAATCAGGCCTTTATTTAAAACTATGAGAAGTTAGATTTTAAACAAATTTGATACTTCCAACATTAAGTTTTGAAAGAAATACTAGTGATGTTTAACTCTGTTTACTAGAAAAAATGTGTTGGTGTCTTAGTTTTCTATTGCTCTCACAAAATACTATAACCAAAATAACTTATAGAAGAAAGCAGTTAGTTGGGTTTATGGCTTCAGAAGGTTAGAGTCAATGATGACAGAGCAAAGGTTATGGCAGCAGGGAAAGCTAAAAGTTCACAGTTTGATCCCCAAATAGAAGGCAGAGAGAGCTAACTGGGAATGACCAAACTTTTGAACCTCAAAACCCATTCCCAGTGACACATTCCTCCAATAAGGCCATGCCTCTTGATCCTTCATAAACAGTTCTACCTACTTCAGACCATGTATTCAAGCATAAGGACCTATGGGGGCCATTCTTATTCAAACACTGCAGTTGGTGTGTTAGCATCTCTAGAGTCTTGATGCAAGCGTCTGTTGCCTGGGAATGTGACTATGAAATATGGTTTTCCTCCTGTGTTTCCCCTCTTATCAACTATGCACTTTAGCAAGCTGCTTTTACTCTAAATAACTTCTGAAAAGTCTTCCATATGTGACTTGTGTATTCTTTTAAAGCCCAAAAGTGTCCTGGCATACTTTTGTGTTGTGTCCTATAGTATAACCAAAGGTAAAAACTGAAAGTAGCCAGTCAGTGGTGTAGCACACTTTTAATCCCAGCACTTGGGAGGCAGAGACAGGCGGATCTCTGAGTTTGAGGCCAGCCTGGTCTACTGAACGAGTTCTAGGACAGGCTCCAAAGCTACAGAGAAACCCTGTCTCGAAAAACCAAGATAGATAGATAGATAGATAGATAGATAGATAGATAGATAGATAGACAGACAGACAGACAGATAGAAAACTGAAAATACAGAGTGTGTCCAGTGATCATCAGGGATGGGATAAACTTAGGGTAGTTATTGGTAAAGCTGATCATTGTCCCCTTTTAAATTCAATTTCTATTTTTCATGTCTTAAGAACTTATTTATTATTTATTTATTTTATATACCAACCACAGTTTTCCCTCCATCCTCTCCTCCTGCTCCGTTCCCCACCTCTGTTGTACACTGCCCCATCCGCTCTTCCTCCATCTCCATTCAGAAGGGGTAAGGCCTCCCATGGGAGTCAACAAAGCATGGCATATCAACTAGAGGCCGGACAAAGCCCTTCCCCTTGCATCAAGGCTGGGCAAGGTATCCCACCAAAGAGACAGCTCCTGAATCAGGGATAGCTTCTAGTCCTAATGCTAGGGGCCCTAGTAAAGAGCAAGCTACAGAACTGTCACCCAGATGCAGAGGGCCTAGGTCGAGCCCATGCTGGCTCCCTAACTGTGGGTTCAGAGTTCATGAGCTCCCACAAGCTCAGGACAGCTGTCTCTGTGGGTTTCCCTGTCATTATCTTAACTCCTATTGCTCATATAATCCCTCCCCCATCTCTTTAACTGGTCCCCCTGAGTTTGGCCCAGTGTTTGGCTGTGGATCTTTCCATATGCTTCCATCAGTTACTGGATGAAGGCTCTATGACAATTAGGATGGTCATCAGTCTGATTACAGGGGAAGGCCAGTTCAGGCACCCTCTCCAATAATGCTCAGAGTCTTAACTGGGGTCATCCTTCTGGGTTCCTGGGAGTTGCTCTGGTTTCTCCCTAATCCCATATTGGCACCCTCTATCAAGATATATCTTTCAGTACTCTCCCCCACTGTTCCACCCGCAACTTGGACATTCTGATCCCTCATGTTCCTTTCCCCCATCCTCTACCCTCAATCCACCTGCCCCCAGGTCACCTGGCATATCTCATCTATTTCCTCTTCCCGGGAAGATTCATTCATGTAACTTAGGTCCTCCTTGTTACCTAGCTTCTTTAGGGCAGAGGACTGTAAGCCTAGTCATCCTTAGCTTTACATCTAATATCCACTTATGAGTGAGTGCTTTCTATGTTCATCTTTCTGTGTCTGAGTGCCTCACTCAGGATGACTTTTGCTACTTCCATTCATTTGCCTGCAAATTTCATGATATCATTGGGTTTTCTCCCCACTGAGTAATACTCATTTTGTAGATGTAACACCTTTTTTTTATCCATTCTTCATTTGAGGGACATCTAGGTTGTTGCCAAGTTCTGGATATTATGAATAATGCTGCTTTGAACACAGTTGAGCAAGTGACCTTGTGGTATGATTGAGTATCCTTTGGGTATATGCCCAAGAATGGTATCACTCGATCTTGAGGTATACTGATTCCCAAATTTTTGAGAAACTACTATACTGATTTCCAGAATGGCTGTACAAGTTTGTACTCCCACCAGCAGTGGAGGAGTGTTCCCTTTACTCCACATCCTCTCCAACATAGGCTGTCATTATCGTTTTTGATCTTAGTCATATTGTTTTGATATGCATTTCTCTGATGACTAAGGATGTTGAACAGTTATTTAAGTGTATCTCAGCCATTCAAGATTCTTTTGTTGAGAATTCTGTTTAAATCTGTACCCCATTTTAATGGGATTATTTGGTATTTTGATGTCTGGTTTCTTGAGTTCTTTATATATTTTGGATATCAGTTTACTGTCAGTTGTGGGTTAGTGAAGTTCTTTTGCCATTCTGTAGGCTGCTGTTTTGTCTTATTGAGTGTCTTTTGCTTTACAGAAGCTTTTCAGTTTCAGGTGGTTCTATTTATTAATTGTTCATCTCAGTGTCTGTGCTGCTTGTATAATATTCAGAAAATAGTCTTCTGTGCCAATCCATTCAAGGCTACTTCCCACTTTTCTCTTCTATCAGGTTCAGTGAAACTGGATTCATGTTGAGGTCTTTGATCCACTTGGACTTAGGTTTTGTGCAGGGTGATAAATATGGATCTATTTAGATGCTTGTATATGCCACCATCTAGTTATGCCAGCACTATTTGTTGAAGATGCTTTCCCTTTTCCATTGTATATTTTTGGCTACTTTGTGAAAAACCAGGTGTTCATAGGTATGTGGATTTATATCAGGGTCATCAATTTGATTCCATTTATCCACATGTCTGTTTTTATGCCAATACAAAGCTGTTTTTATTACTATGGCTTTATAGTAGAGCTTGAAGTCATGGATGGTGATATCACCATAAGTTATTTTATTGTACAAGATTGTTTTGGCTGCCCTCAGGTTTTTGTTTTTCCCTGTGAAGTTGAGTAATGTTCTTTCGAGGTCTGTGAAGAATTTTTCTGGAATTTTGATGGTGATTGCATTGTTGCTTTGAATCTGTAGATTACTTTTGGCAAATTTGCCATTTTTTTTACTATTTTAATCCTACCTATCCAAGAGCATGGGAAATTTTTCCATTTTCTGATGTCTTCTTCAATTTCTTTCTTCAAAGTTTTAAAGTTCTTGTCATACAGGTCCTTCACTTCTTTGGTTAGAGTTACCCCAAGATATTTTATATTATTTGTGGTTATTGTAAAGGGTGATATTTCTCTGATTTTTTTTCTTGGCCCATTTATCATCTGCATATAGGAGTACTACTGATTTTTTTGAGTTTTTCTTGTATCCTGCTACATTACTGAAGGGGTTTATCAGCTGTAGGAGTTCCTGGTAGAATTTTTGGGGTCACTTATATATACTATCATATTATCTGCAAATAGTGAAAGTTTGACTTCTTCCTTTCCAGTTTGTATCTCCTTGATTTCCTTTTGTTGCCTTATTGCTCTAGCTAAAATTTTGAGTACTATATTGAGTAGATAAGGAGAGTATGGGAAACCTTTCTTGTCCTTGATTTTAGTGGAGTTGCTTTGATTTCTATCTGTTTATTTGATGTTGGCTGTAGGCTTGCTGTATATTGCCTTTATTGTGCTTAGGCCTTCCTTGTATCCCTGTTCTCACCAGACCTTTGTCATTAAGGGATGTTGGATTTTGTCAAAGGCTTTTTCAGCATCAAATGAGATGATAGTGTGTTTTTTTTTCTTTCGGATTGTTTATATTGTGGAGTACATTGACAAATTTTTGTATGTTGAACTAGCTCTGCATCTCTACTTGATCATGATGGAAGATTTTTTTGATGTGTTCTTGGATTCAGTTTCTCAGTATTTTATTGAGTATGTTTACATCAAAGTCCATGAGGTAAATTGGTCTGTAATTCTCTATCTTTTTTGCATCTTTCCTTGGTTTGGGTATCAGGTAACTGTGGCCTCATAAGAAGAATTTGGCAGTATTCTTTCTGTTTCTATTGTGCAGAACAATTTGAGGAGTATTGATATTAGCCCTTCCTTGAAATTGTGATAGAATTCTGCACTGAAACCATCTGGTGCTGGGTTATTTTTGTTTGGAAGACTTTTAATGATTGTTTCTAATTTCTTAGGGGTTATAGTTCTATTTAAATTGTTTATATGGTCTTAATTTAATTTTGTTATACTGTACCTATCAAGAAAGTTGTTCATTTCTTTTAGATTTTCCAATTTTATGAAGTACAGGGTTTTGAAATATGATCTAATGATTCTCTGTATTTCCTTGGGGTTTGTTACTATGCCCCCCTTTTCATTTCTGATTTTGTTAATTTGGATATTCTCTCTCTACCTTTTGGTTAATTTGGATAAGGGTTTGTCTAACATGTTGGTCTTTCTTGAAGAACCAACTCTTTGTTTCACTGATTCTTTGTATTCTTTGTTTCAATTTTATTGCTTTCAGCCCTAAGTTTAATTATTCCCTGCCTTCTACTCCTCCTGGGTGAGTTTACTTCTTTTTGTTATGGAGCTTTCAGATGTGCTGTTAAGTTTCTTGTGCCAGATTTCTCCAAATTCTTTCTGTAGGCACTCAATGCTATGAACTTTCCTCTTAGCACTGTTTTCCTAATGTCCCATAAGTTGGGGTATGTTGCGCATTCATTTTCATTGAATTCTGAAGTTCTTTAATTTTTTTGTTTCCGTCTTGTTCTGCCTGGCCCTACTGCTACTAGGGGCCCCTCAGATAGTTCAAGCTTCACCACTGCCTCCCACATACAGAGGGCCTGATTCGGTCCCATGGAGTCTCTACAGTCTAGAGTTCATGAGTTCATGAGTTTCCATGAGCTTGGTTCAGCTGTCTCTATAGATTTCTACATCATGATTTTGACCTCCCTTGCTCATATATTCCTTCCTCTCTCTCTTAAACTGGATTCCTGGAGCTCAGTGTGTTGCTTGGTTGTGGATCTCTGCATCTGGTTCCCTCAGTCATTGGATGAAGGTTCTATGATGATAGTTGGGGTATTTACCAATCTGGTTACAGGGGAAGGCCAGTTTGGGTACCCTCTCCACTATTGCAAGGAGTCTTAGCTGGGGTCATCCTTGTGGATTCTTGGGAATTTTTCTGCCACTGGGTTTCTCCCTAACCCCATAGTAGTTCTCTCTATCAAGATATCTCTTTCATTGCTCTCCCTTTCCATCCCAACCCTCCTCAAACACCCAATTCCCTTATGTTCTCATCCCGTTCCCTCCCTTTACAACCCTCCTCACCCCTAGTTTACCCAGGAGATCTCATCTAATTCCCCTTCCTAGGGTGACCCATGCATCTCTCCCGGGGCCTCTTTGTTTCCTAGCTTCTCTGGAGCTGCAGATTGTTTTCTGGTTATCTTTTGCTTTACATCTAATGTCCACATATGAGTAAGTACATACCATGTTCTGTTGATGATGCTTGTGTCTGTAGTTCCTGTTTGCTTACCCAGATTTTCCACTAGAATTCCAACTAAATTCCCTCAGTTTGTGTTTTCCTTTTCTTTCTTTCTCTTTCTTTCTTTCTTTCTTTCTTTCTTTCTTTCTTTCTTTCTTTCTTCTGCCCTTCCTTCCTTTCTTTTTTCTTTCTTTTTTCCTTCTATTTATTTATTTGTTCGTTTATTTATTTAATTCTTTATTTCTTATATTGCCCTGGCTATTGTTGATTGTGTTCTTACACTGGAGTTTAAACATCAGGGTTTGGGATGATTAGGTCTAGGTTCTGATTTCTGAGTTTGTGTTTGTTGGATGTATGTTTTCTTCCTTGATTTCTGGTTCCTCTTTGGTTGTCTGGTCTTTGTTTCCTGGATTTCTGGTGGCTGGTTCTATTAGGGAGGCATCCAAGTAAGGTGGTGGTCTTCGGGTGGTTAGCTCTGCCTTTGGGGGGCGGGAGGCTCTGTTCTTCTCCTATGTGTAGTTTTTGATATAACTTGTGACCAGTATGACTAATAACTTAAAATTTTTATTACCTTCCTTTAACACATATACATACAAATATAAAACTAATATGTAAATATTAAAAATATGTTTGGAATAAAATTACAAATATATATTTTATGAATCTATTTTATATAAACATGTATTTATAAATCTGGAAATACTATTATAGTTTTTTTCTGATAAAAATTTAATGTTCGAATCAAGATATACTGTAAGTACAAAATACATTCCATCATTTTCAAATCCTTAGCCCTAAAGATGCAAAATATTTTATTAATACTTTATCCATTATGTGTTGATAGGACAACATTCTAAGTATATTTGGTTAAATAAGGTATGTCATCAAGCTTAATTTCACTCATGGTTTTTAATGTAACTTCTAGGACAGTTAATATCATTCATTCATGAATATTGTAAGTATCTATCAGGACGTTCTGTTACCATATTCTGTATAAAGCATATTTACATAACTATATTTAGTAACATGTTTTGATTTGTTATCCATAGGAAAAGATATTTAAAGTCTGGAAAACCTATTTTCTCTCAGACTGCTCCATTGCTCTCTTGCATGACTCTTTTTGGTGGTGGTTTCTCCATAAATTCAAGGTAAATGACATTTTAAAATTCTGTAAAAACATTGATTTGTAGCATAATTATCTTTCAGTAGAAGTAATATTAATACAAAAGTTTTTTACATGGATAACTTTTTGAGCATTCCACAGACTAAAATCCCATTTAAAGTTTCTTCTTTCAGAAGAATTAAAATTCCAATAAGGATTTCAACAAACTGGATTTCTCGTCTATCAGGAAAGATAAGGGAGAGCCAGTATGGTAGCAAATACTAAAGTTATATCTTTGCATGTTATTATATGCTGGTAGATGAACAGAAAGTATATTGAAAATCAGTAACAGTGAGGATTTAGAAGAGAGACGGGCAGAGAGCCTTTGGTTGATTCAGAAAAGTGAGAATTTGAATCTGGGAAAAAATGAGAAGAAAGTGAAATGGGTAGCACCAGAGGCACTGTTCGACCAGAATTTCAGTAAGAATAAATACCCGAAAGTTGCCTAAAAATTTGGCTCCCCAAAATGATGCAAAAAATTTGAAGGTGGCCCACTCTGTGACTCCCCAAACCACGGCCATCTGAGTGCACATGGCAGTGCAAGCCCTTCACCAGTAGCACTACCCCACTTCCAGGACTAGAGTTCACATCAGAGGACTGAACACAGTACACAGGTGCACAGCCCATGCCCATCTAACCCTGCCCTGTGACTCCAAACCACAGCTAGCCAAGTACCATGTGCACACCATGTGCTCCACAAAAGCCCCTAGCTGACCTGGACTACTTCTGAAGCCCCAATTACATATCAGCATTGTGTCCCCAAGACCGAACCTCAAGCATGACCCAGCAATTTCAAAGATCAGCTCAGTTTAGGTAACAACGGATAGAAATCCAAATGCACACTCGACAGAGGTGAGTCATATATTCACACTATACAGCCAGTAACACTGCTCTATCTGTACAGTTCCAACACAAACAACATGAAAAGCCAAAACAATGCCGCTTCAAAAAATTAGTACCCCACACAGTAATGTTCCCTGAGGAAAACAACTTAGATGACACATAAGATAATGGACTCAAAATAGCAATTTTAGATAGGTTCAAGGAGCTCAAGGAGCATATGAATAAATGCCAGAACGATGATTTAGAAAACACAAGCAAAGAGTTAAGTATGTATATATGTATGTATGTATGACTGTCATCTAAGAAGGTAGGCTATAGCCCCATCCAATATAGTGCAACTAAGAAATGACAGAGCTACCATTCAAACTCCACTGTGATGCCAAAACCAATGGCTCTTCCATTATACTGGTCGAACTACCCTTTAATAAAAGACTATATTCTTATATAACATATATACAGATGCATGTATGTATATGTATACTGAATTATATGTAATAATATTGTATACAGAATTTCCTAATATAAATTTTAATGTTGACCCTAATTGCATACATGCATCTCCTTTAAGCCTGACAGAAGAGATCAAGATTCCTTGTTTGACAGAATCTCAGAAAGTTATGTAACACTTTTCATGAGAATACCTCATAGGAAAAAGGATGCATTCTTTCAGGTACATGTAAAAACTCAACAGTTGTAATAATTATCTTCATAGTGTATGAAAAATGTATTTCATTTAAATATATATTTTGGTTACCTTTCAACCAAAAATTCTCTGATGTAAAAAATAGAAATATTTTAAAGTTATGTTTTACCACCATGACCACTACCCAGAATATTGTGTTCTCTGGACTCATAGTCTTAGAGTCGCTGTAGTTCTATAGTCGTGTGGGTTGGAAACTGGTGACTGCTATGTAGATATATTCTTGCTTTTGTTCTATTTACCTATAAAAATATCATTTTCTTTTACTCTATAATAAATCTTTTAATCCATTTAAGTGAAACTGGCTAGTTTATATTATACTTACTGAATAAGCTATGAACTAAATATTTATTTTCATTTCTGTTAATAGGTAAGGTTAATCAAAATATTTTGGTAAAGTGAGAAAATATATGGAATTCTTCAAATGTTTTAAATATTAATAGTACTTCAAAACACAAGCAATATTCAAGTATCTGTTGCTTTAGCAATCTGTAAATCAGAAGTCTAAAACATTTTGGATATAAATGTTTCACAGTGTTTAACATAATATACCATTAATGAAAGTATAATTCTAAATGTGAGGATTTGTCAGATACTTGCATTCTATCTTGGTTTATCTTACTCTTCCATAAAGTGTGGTCAGGAAAACTGTAGTAGACTGGGAATTGGGTTTGAAGACTTGTCCACTATGGGCAGCACCATCCCATTGGCTGCTGTCCTGGAGAACATGGAATGGAGAGAGCAAGCTGAACACAAGCATGCATCTCCCCTTGCTTCCTGACCGTGGGTGCCATGTGGCCAGGTTCCTCAAGTTCCTGCTGCCATGACTTCCCTGCTGTAACAGACTGTACCCTGGAACTATGGGCGGGAATAAGCTTACTCTCCTTCAAGCTGCTTTATCATGGACACAGGAAAAAGAAACTAAAACAATCTTTTCATAATCACCAGTAGGTGGCTCAGTCACACATGTATACACACACACACACACACACACACACACACACTTGAGAAGTTCCTCTTAAACAACCTGTTTTTTAATTTTAACTATTAATAGAACTTCTGTGCCACTGATAATATGCGACCATTTGGGTAATGAAGATATTCAGAACTCCCTTAATAAAATTAGATATACCAATATATCACAAAATTCATTCCCTCACACATCCTCCTTCCTGCCGCCGCCACCCCAGTCAAGGATGCCCTAAAAGGATGGTGTTCCAGCAAATCTGAGCACTGTTTGATTAACATAGCCCTGTTTCCTATGAGCTGTTACAAAGTATAATAACTTAATTTTTAAAGCAATAAAAATTCATTTTCTTAGTTATAGAGGCCAGCAATCCACGATGAATAGAATATAAATCTAAAATGAAAACACCAATGCTGTTTTCTTTAGACACCCAGAAGGAACTCAGCTTCTCTTTCTTTCGTCCCTGGCGTCAGGCCCTGACAACGTTCTTTGACCTATGGTGCCATCACTGCCCTCTCCCTTCTGCTGTCACATTGCCTTCTCCTCTTCTGGAGTCAGTCTGCTCAGTTTCCCTCCTAAGGCTATGTGAAACTACTGTTAGAATCTACAGGATAATATAGAGTACTCTAATCTGCCCCATGACTTCAGCTTCCTTCATCCTAACTGACATTTACAGGTACAAGGAATTAGAACATGTGCAGTTTGGGGTTCATTAGTTGGTGCACTACAGTGGCCATTATGGACTTCTCTAATGCTAGAACTTTAATCAAATGGGGGTCTTAGTTCATGATTGTCAATATTTATCTGAATTCAGAGAACCACAATAGAGATATCATGTGTCTTTAATATAAACATATGGTCTCTCTCAGTGTTTACCCCTCGAGAAAAATGTAATAGCTGGAGTATCTGAAAGCTAGGCTGTCACGTAGGAGCATGGCTTGAGAGGGGCTGGCCAATGGACCATCTGGAATAGGATGTAGAGGCAGCAGTGCTGGTTGACAAGGTACAAAACTGTGGTATTCTCTTCAGATGGCCCAGCTCAGAACCCCAGCTGCAGGGAAACGGTACAATAGCTAATAATGTTCCGTGCTAGCTAGGTCAGACCAAATCAGCTTTAAGACTTTCACTCCAGGAAAGACGGAGTAGGTTGCTCCTGAGAAACCTTTCAACTTTAAGGGTGTCTAAGCCTCTGTTATATTTTTGCATCTTTTAAAAAAATGTATTTATCCTTACTGGCTTGTTTCCACATGTGTGTGTAAGGATGTGGATACACATGGGGCGTGGAGAAGTGAGAGGATACCTTTCGGAAACCAGTTCCCCCTCCTTCCAGGAGTTCCAAGGATCAAATTGAGGTTGCCAGGCTTTTGCCCACGGACATACTAGTATGTCTCTAGTCAGATATTCTTGCATATTCTAAGACACGTAGAACAGACTTCATTCTGGGTAAAATGGCCCTTCCCTGGAAATGCAAGAGAAGGCACAGGGAAGGAATAACCAGGAGAGGAAAGCTCCATATCCTGTGCCTGCCAGGACCAGGTGGAGCTGCTGGGCTCAGTAGAGCCTGCTCTTTTCCTGAAGAGCCTACTCTTGTTTGCTCCAGTTAAACTCCTGGCTGCTTTGTTGCCATGTCCCTTCTGATTTCTTCCAGAGCATAAGAACCAAGAGTGTTGCTGGGGAGAGACCAGAGGAAAATGGAGACTTCCCTCTGACTATGGGATGTTTATAGTGCTGTAATTTTGTTGCTATCTCATTGTAGTTTTAATAATTAATACTGGTTATAACATATAAACTAACACGACCAAGTAACAAATACCTTAAAATACACTTTTCATTGTGATCACTATCTAGATTATTTTTCAGAAAATAACCATAGCAAGTTAAATGAAATCAATAGCTAATCAAGCCAATTACCCATGACTGTAGTGGTCATAGACCCTGACCCTACTACTGCCATCTTCCTAACTCAATATAATTTCTAACTGTATCCTATATATACCTTATATCCACAGAGAAGTGTAGCTCTCACTGCTTGTCAAATTGGTTTCTTTTAGCAGCAAGCAGAGACTGTTACAGAGATATAAAACTGATCAAAACCAGAGAATAAGTGACCATGTGGCATCTACCCCTAATCGGTACATCTGCAATGTAACCCCTACACCCAGGAGATTGTAAAAGCCAGAGGACCGGGATACTTGCTATGAGACAGTGTCCTCTGACATGACAGGGAAGGGGAAAGGATATGGCTTCCTAAACATGGCCTGCATATTAAGAGTACGAGTAGACATGCCAGTGTGGACAGGGAAATTTTTGCAAGACTTTACCCCTAGCTCAAGAGCTACAAGCAGTCATGAGCTGCTGAGAGATGCAGAGCCAGTTTCTTCAAGGATGAGGCCCCTGGTAGGTTTGCCAGTCCCGAGTGGCTAGTCCGAACACAAGTGTACAGGAACAGCACTAAACTGACTCAAGGTGATGTGTGTGTTTGAGAGGGAGTAGAAAGGGACACAGGAAGAGCTGGAGGGGAAGCATGGAAATTATGCAAATGCAGTACTTTGGTGAGAATCTAGAATAAAATGTTGAAATTTACATTTAATAAAAGAATAGCTAGTCAAACTCTGCCTTTATTCAGGAGTACTTACAAAGCACTCTAGGTAGACTCATGTTTTAGCTGTTTTTTTTTTTTCCTTGTGTCCCTCAATTAGAGTTAAAATAGCTAAAGGAAAGCTGTAAAGGGGGAACATGTATTCCACAAACTAATCATTTCTTTGTTATTATTATTATGTATTACACATGAACTATGACAGCCACCTAACATGGCTCCTTTCCGGCAGGTGTATCCCAATTGTTTGGCACAGGCTATCTATGCAGCATTCCAGGAATCATTTCCAGAATCCAGTGAACTCTTCAATAGTGAGTTTAAAGAACAGCTAGGAAACACGATTTTTCTTTGGTTGTCAGGTATGAGTTTGTCATTTAAGTATTCATTATTTGGTTCTAATTATTTTTAGATTGAAGTATTCTGCTCCAATCAAAATATTGATGACTTATAAAACAGGCCATACCAATGTCTGCTTTAAAGTGATCATTACTCTGAAATTTTCATGATCAAAGTTAATTACTTATTGGCATTGTAATTCAGCCAAATCTTTTGTTTGTTTGGGATAAAGTCTGTACCTAGCCTTGGCATTCCAGAAACTCACCCTGTAGAACAAACTAGCCTCCAACTCACAGAGATCTGCCTGCCCCTGCCTCCTGAGTGTTGGAATTAAAGGTGTGCACCACCACCTGGCAAGTCAGATAATTTTAAGTGGTGAAATTATTATCGAAAACAGAATTTCTTCAAAACTGACATTGGTATGTGTATGTGTGTGTATGTGTGTGCGTGTGTGTGTGTGTTTGCAGTGTAGTCTGCATACCAAGATAAATACATCAAGCTGCTATGAAGAACAGAAGTTATCCTGCATATCCACTATTGACAAAGTTGTGTCAATACCCAAATTTGAATGTTGAATCCCTAACCCTATAACACCTTTTAATGTGACTTTATTTGAAAATAGGTCTTTTAAAAAGGAAATTAAGGGGCTGGAGAGATGGCTCAGTGGTTAAGAGCATTGCCTGCTCTTCCAAAGGTCCTGAGTTCAATTCCCAGCAACCACATGGTGGCTCACAACCATCTGTAAAAGAGGTCTGGCGCCCTCTTCTGGCCCTCAGGCATACAGACAGAATCAGAATATTGTATACATAATAAATAAATAAATAAATAAATAAATAAATAAATAAATAAATATTAAAAAAAGGAAATTAAGATTTAACATGTTTGGTCATGTAGTTGATTGCTAAACCAATAGGATGAGCGCTCTCATGAGAAGATGGAGAAAGGAAGGATGTAAGCAAGATTGGAGGGAAGGAAATACTAGTGTCTTCAACAACACAAAATAGCTCAGTATTCTAGCCATGAACAAAAGTAGCCTGAGGGAAGACTCAGGAGTTCCATTAGAACCTGCAGTAAAAGGTAGAGAGGAGGAGGAAGAGGAAGAGGAGGAAGCAGCAGCACATGGAAAGGTCAGCATATGTAAAACATATAGAGAACTAAGAACCAGTGAAAGAGTAGAAAACATCAGAATCAGGAGGTGGCAAGTACTCCTGTGGTCCCCAGTGGCCTGATTTGCCATGGACTCCAGCAGCCTCTACTGCCCAGCACCTCGATAGCGGCAGTGCATAGTCAGTGCTCCCTGAGTGCTCTCAACAAAGACCTCAGGAGCTCTTTCACAGACACAGTGGTGACTCTTGCCACTGAGGTACATGTTGCTGTTGAGAATTTTAGAGAGACTTGTGCTCAGCTGCCATTTCTAGAGTTACTGTTGTGCTGCCTCAGGACCACCACCTCCCCAAACCTATACATCCTAGAAACTGAGATGCTGCCTCAGGACCACCACCTCCCCTAACCATGCATACCCTAGAAACTGAGATGCTGCCTCAGGACCACCACCTCCCCAAACCTATACATCCTAGAAACTGAGATGCTGCCTCAGGACCACCACCTCCCCTAACCATACATACCCTAGAAACTGAGATGCTGCCTCAGGACCACCACCTCCCCTAACCACACATACCCTAGAAACTGAGATGCTGCCTCCATGTGCACACATACACCCTGGCTGTGTCAGCAGTGTGCTTCCACACATTCCACACAAGTCAGACACAACGTAGAGAACTAACCTTCACACTGGACCTTCAAGCCACTGTTACCCTACTTATCCTGAGCCAGCTGATGCTGTGCATACAAGAGTCATGGCTAATAGCAAATGCACCTGCAATTCAGAGTTCATAGAAGCAAGGAATCTGCTCATGTGTCTGTACTCTGGAACCCATATTCTAGGGAAAATTCCTGAAAGAGAGTGTCACAACAGGAGCAACCATGAACTGGATCTTAAGTATGTAATTCTTCACACCTGTGCACTCCAGACCTCGTCTCTGTTGTGCTCCACAAGTAACCCTGAATCATACACTATTACCAAAGTTGTACCAAGGCTACTGCTCCTACCCACTCTGGGATCTCAATTCCCTGAACTGTTACTATTCTCTGTCATATTGACCCCGAGCAAATGCTGTAGTACATGGTCCTCTGGGGATATATAGCCATTGCGTCTCTACATCCCCAGGCTTTTCCATCACTGTAGCATGCTAGGCCTGTGCAGTAAGTCCTGCTAGAGCCTAACCCTGGGCCTGCTACAGAGTCATCCAGACTTGCCAGTCACTAGTGCCCACAGCCTCTGAGAATATGAGCTGACTTCGTATTCAGTCTTCTAGGGACCCAGAGAATTAGCCACCAATGCAGTAGTGCTTCCTGGTGCCCCTGCTAAAGTGTTAACCACCTCTCAAGAGTATCGGCTAACAAGAGAAGTCACAACTTCTGAGTCCCAGTTCAGCCAGTATCATGATTTACCTATAAACTGTGCCCCCACTCTCCTGGTGAGAGGGTCACAGTTCCCCACCCCTTTGGAGCAAGAGTGATGCCTTCAAAGTCTGCCAAGCAAGCAGTCTACATCCCCAGTGAGTAGCAACATTACTGCTCAACCAGATGAAGAGGCATCAGTGGACAGACTAAAGATGTGTAGAACAGGACAGAAAAATGACATCACCAAAGGAACAGAATGTTTCTCTAGTAACCAAATCCCGAAAAGCTGAAGTTATATATTTCTAGAAATCAAAGTAAAAAATTATCATTTTACAGAAATCCAGTGAGACTCGAGAGAGTATGGGGAGAAGATTCAGTGAGAACAGAGAATGACATATGATCTGTCGATATCTCGGTGGAGACCTCCAATTGCCGCGCACCTTGCCCCTGTGTCTGTGCTCTGTGCGCTGGCACCCAGTTCTCGAGCTTCGGACAAGGGGGCTGGAAGTTAAAATACACAGACACACACAGACAGAGACAGCGACACGGGTCATCCTTGAATTCCCCAAGAATGCTCTCTTTATTGTGTTCAGGGGCAGATTATATAGAGATAGCCACGCCCCAGCCAAACCCACCAGAAACCACTCTCCTGCCATCAGGAACTCCTGAAGGTCTCGTGCTCAGAGCAGCTGTAGGCACTCAGATCAGGGGATTACAAGAAATTCAGGATCTGGGGTCTCACTGCTCCCAACAATGATCTACACAGAGCCAACAAATACATAGACATGACTTTTTTTAAAAAAATATTTATTTATTCACTTATTATGAATACAATATTCTGTTTGTGTGTATGCCTGCAGGCCAGAAGAGGGCACCAGACCTCATTACAGATAGTTGTGAGCCACCATGTGGTTGCTGGGAATTGAACTCAGGACATTTGGAAGAGCAGGCAATGCTCTTAACCACTGAGCCATCTCTCCAGCCCTAGACATGACTCTTAAAAGGACCAAACCTTAGAACTGAAAACTTTTAATTAGAGAACTTCACTGGAGGATTACATAAAGCAGAAAACGAATTTGTAAACTTGGAGACAGGCCCTTTTAAATTAAACAGAGAAAAACAAAGACAAAAGAATGACATGAAAAAGCCTATGAGATTCATAAGATACATTTAATGAACAAATTTCTACATTATCTGTGTAACCAAGTTCTGGCTTGTGAAGACAGATGCAGGAAAAAAATATTCAATGAAATGGCTACTGAAGACATCCCAGGTCATGAGATGCACTTCTATCTGTATCTGTGACTCTCAGAGGCCCACTAAGCAATCATCCAACCCAGTAAATCATCAAGAGTGAAACACTGGCTCAAACACAGGGAAAGCCCATCGGACTGTAGGGACTTCTCAAAAGAAGTCTTGAATGCTAAGAAAGGGGTGATATAGTTCAGTGATGAAAAAAAAAATGTCAGCCAAGAAGACTTTATCCAGCAAAGCAGTCCTGTGATAATGAAGGAGGAATAGCCTTTTACAGACAAGCAGCACCGAGGGGCTTTGTCACCACCAGACGTGGTTGCAATAAATGCTTTAAGGACTTCCACCTGCAGAAATGAAAGCACAGTGTGTTCATCACAAGGACAATGAACAACTTTGGGAAAGAAGGGTTGATTTTAGCATGTGGTTTCACAGTGAAGAAGACATGGTGGCTGAGGCTCTGGCCTTGGTGCAGAAGCTTGTGCCTAGTCATCATAGTGAGAAGACAGAAAGCTAGGAAAGACATAGGCCAGAGCCAAGCAGAGGCTGTAGGTTCATCTCCAGTCACTTCATTCCACCAACCAGGCCTCATCTCCTAAAGGTTCTACAGCTTCCTAAGATAGTACCACCAGCTGGGGACTGAGTGTTCAAAGACATCATCCTGAGAGCATAGTGTATATCCATGCCATGAAATTCTTTCCCTATCCCCTGTAGGATTATGGCTGTCTCCTAATGCAATAATACGTTCAGTTCAACCACAGAGGTTGCCCTAGAATTTTTCAAAGTCCACAGTTCAAAAATTTCTTCTAAGACTGTAAGCCCTTATAAAATAAAACAAGTTCTGTGTGTCCAGCATCCAATGGTGCACACATTCCATTCCACAAAGGAAGAATGATGGCATAGTGAGACATGAGAGTGCCGAAGTGATCCTAAAGGTAGCCTGGGAAAGTATCAAACCCTGCACTCTGTATCTGCACCATCTGTCCTCCAGCCACCTTAGAAAGCCCCACTCCTCCAACTCTGTTATCTGTGGTGCATGTGGCCCCTCTTTTGGGTTGACTCCCCTCCATGCTTGTAGCTCTCCTAAGCAAACACCTAACGTTCCTAGCACTCTCATGTCTCTGCCACAGCTTAGGCTGCACCTTCACAATTTCATGGGATCGTCTCTTGGGATCTCCTTGCAAGGGAATCCAACCCTGCCGCACATTGCCTGACCTCATTAGCTTTCTGGGATGACACAAGCTGCCGTGACTCCTCGCTCCTGCATCTTGCATGCTATAGAATCAGTCCCATGTGGATACCCACTCCAAGTACTACTAATAGTCAGGCTACGTTGTCCTCTGCTTTTGTGGCTGGAAAACACTTTCCTAGTTGGTTATTTCTGAGCAGAAAATAACTGTGGTGGCGTTCTCAGTTCAGGCTCTCAAGTGACTTTCATTTTCACAAGCTAGAGCCTTAAATGGATGGGGTCTTGCCTGCCCATCAGGGCACTTTCCCTCTTGTCCCAGTGAAAATGGCAACATTCCTCTTCTCCCCTCATGTCATATGGATAGAACCAGTGATCTAGAAACAAATGGGGATGCTAAGTCTTTCCTGTCAATGAGTGCTTGAAATGTACGTTAGTTGCATTCTCCAATCCAAATGCATGAAGTAGATTTCTAAAAAAGGTAGGAAGAAAAAAAGAGCAATAAGGCTCTTGCCTATGTGGCCTCTGAGTTACACACTTCAGCTTTTGTGTAGGCTGCAGCAAGAACAGTAATTGAAGAGAGTCTGTGTGAGTGGCAAGCAGAGGGAGCAGGGTTGACTGCACTCACATTAGATAAAGCAGAGGACAAAAATGTCATTATTTATTAATAAAGGGTTACTTTATCAACAGAATATGATAACCAAACTCAAAAGATCTAAATACATTAAGCAATTATTGACTGATGTGAAAAGACAGATAAGTAGATGATGTCAGTACTGGGTATTGTAGCCAGACGACAGATTAACCAGGAAACGTCGGGCTTTGTACCTTAGATGAGATGGACCTAAATTGCCACCATATTCATGGGTTCTGCTGAGCCTGCTCACAACTGCTCATCCCACCTGGGTCTGGTGACTCTTTACCCTCCCTCCCCAAAGGAAGAGATGGCTGGTCATGGAACACTTAGCCGAGTGCCCAGTGACCCTTCCCAGTCAGTTGTATGCAATTCTACAATATTTGCATGTGACCTTGGAGATTTAGCTAGAAGACATAGGTAGGAAATGATGAGGGAGGGGAGCTCCATCTGCTTAGCCACGGAGAAGCCATCACTGTTGCTGGGTGCAAAACCTCAGTGTGGCTGCTTTAAAGTCACCTACCCATAACCCCTGACCCCTGCTCTGTAAGTGAGCCTAGTACACTCTTAGGTCCCCCAAGTGAACTTTAGTAGAATCCTAACTTGGTTTGGCGGTGGGACCTTTAGAAGGCCTCCAGACATGATGAATGTATCACCCAGGCTCTCCTTTTTTCTTAGCAACAACAGCATAGGTAAAAATAAAAAAGTACCTTAGATTGGGACATAGTTTTTTAGATGGGAAACAAAAATCAGTATTCATAAGAGAAAATCTTGGTAAACTGGATTTCATAAAAATTAAAATTTTATATATTCAGAAAGTACCTTTAATAGTATAAAAAAACCAAGCAATAGCCTAAAAGAAATGTTAACAAAATTCAGGGTAAAAAACTAACCAAAGAAAACAATCTCCCATGAAAAAATAGATAAAAAGTGTGGCACCTGCCTACAATCCCAGCTCTTGACCATCATGTGTTCAAGGATTCAAGTTCAAAATCAATAAATAAAAATAGGTGGAATATTTGAACAAAATGCATGATCAAATAATTTATGTGAACCCAAAGAAACAGTCTCAAGTTATTAGCACAGCTGAAATAATTCAGGAAGAACTAGACAGTTCTAGTGACTGAGAGAAGAAGCAAGCAAAAACCCAAACTGAGGAAGGGCAAAACATGATGAACAATATGAAGTAGTGACTACACAGAACACTGGAAATAAAAACTGCAAGTTACTTACAAATACAGAAAGCATTTGTAAAATCTCTCCACACAGTGAGCCAACAATCAAATGTTCCCACTTACGAGGGACATTGCAAATTAAACAGAGCATGTTGAGTCATTGGATGGAAGGCAATAAATTAGGCATATGACCAAACAAAAATGTCTTTATGCGTGCGGAAAATAAGAAATATGGGCCCAACTTCACAATAGCTGAAGTAGTACATCAGTCATGATGAACCTCATTGGATGAATGAATAACGAAAATGTCATGGATTTATACAAAATAAACTACTACTCAGCTATATAAAAAAAAATGAAACCTTGCCGTTCACAGCAGCATGGATGGAACCGGAGGTCAGTAGGTGATTGGGAGAAACAAGACACAGAACAACAAAAGCCGTATGTTCTCACTCATTTAGAGAAACCAGAATCATTTCTTTAGGACAACACAAAAGAACGTGGTCACAGAAGTCTGGTAAATGTGGAAAGAGACTGTCAGAAGCACCAAAAGTAGAGTGGAGAAGTCAGATCTAATTATTTCTCAGCACAGTAGAGAAACTATTGGTTAAAAAAACATATGATCTATTTCAAAATTACTAGAAGAAAATATAAAATTCTCAACATATAAAATATAATGATTGAATAGATAGAAATGTTTTTTCCTGATGTATTATATAGTATATACATATTTTGAATTATGATGATATGCCCCATAAATATGTATAAATTCAAAATGAAAAGAAATATATTCTTAATCCATCATTCAAGGAAGAAATCATAAAGGAAATTAGAAAATAACTTCATGATTAAAACCAAATCTAAATATCAAAAACCATAATAAAGCATGCATGGTCATTCTTCCAGGGCAGTTTCTGGTCTTTGATGTATGTTCTTAAAAACGGGGGGGGGGGGGGGGGGGGGGCTAAAAGCAAATCCATGCGGAAGAAACTGATGCTTCTCCTGTTCTACTTGTAGGTTTCGGTCCTCTGTATTATACCCAAAACAAAAATTAAAAATCCAGGGAAGAGATACGCTAAGAAACACATTTAAGATGCTCATATTTGAAAAGTCTTGAATTTCCAGTCTGGAAGACATTAGGACAAGGAATAGAAACAGTGGAGTGCTGTCGATTTTACTGAGTATCCTCAGAACCTTGAAAACAAAAAGGAAGTGCTCAAAATTTCCAGAGAACGGAGAGCTCAAAAGAGAGAATGCCACGAATCTCTATCAGCAGCTCTGAGGGAAAATAATTCATAACTTACACGTAAACAAACTGTCGCTGAGGCTAGCAATGAAGTCCAGGCATTTTCCAGATGTGCAGATCCTTTCTAGAAAGTTGGTTTGAACTCACCTTTTTCTTATGAAGCTATTATACAGATATCCAGCAACACATGAAATGAGAAGAGGAAATGAGATTCCAGATGCCAAGGTTCTAGTGTGTGAGAGACGTGGTCCTTAGCATAATGGTGGAGGATGCTCCCAGAATAATGGCTGCACATTAAGTCTAGTGGGAAAACGTTCAGATTGGAGCACATCCGACAGCTTTGGAGGAGAACCAACACATTTTTGCGTTTATCCCAACAACCAAATGATAGTTTACCACCAGACTATATTAATCTTGAATTGTGTCTTTTATATTTTGTATTTAAAACCTGAGAATATACCCTTCTCGGGGTCAGACTGTTTCTAGAGATGGTAAATAATTATAGGTATAATTATTATGGTTCAACCATTGTAGAGCCCCGGCCACACACACCCTCTCCTTTCCTGGATTCTTTCTCCAGATGCTTGACATCCTCGGAGCAGGTGCCAAACAATTGGGGTGAGCCTTGAGCCCTGGAGCCTGCTGGAATGAATGAATTATTCCTTTTTTAAAAAACCAGCAAGATAGTTGTCATGCCTCAGTGTTGCTCCCGCCTCACCAATCTGTCTTCCTACCGTGGCCCTCTGTAGTGTGGCATCCTTCTCTTGTGAGCAATGAAAAATAAACAATCCTGCCTTCGTCATCTATCTGTTGGCCTTACTATACAACTAACTTTCTGTTAGTGCCTGATATTTTCAAACGTAGCCAGTCAAGAGCACTCAGCAAGTGAAATGCAAGGCATCTAATATGCAGTGGCAGCTAATAATAAAAATAAACCGGGAGCTGTATCTAAAGAGATGTAGAAAATTCTCCATTAAATCGTAAACTCCGACTGGCTAAATATACACATTACATTCACAGGTATAAAGCCTCAGACTGGCTTTTGGACCCGCTGGAGGCTAACAGAGCTCAGCACAACCACCATTCATGGCAGCAAGCGAGCACCCCTGAAATCGGTGAAAAAGAGGATCGTTTCCAGCCAGGAGCGCATAGCAACCAGTAAGCAAATTTGATAAATTAGATGTGAGAAGGTAGCCAAAGTATAATACATTGGGTCAGTTATTAGTCCTGTTTCTCTAATAACTCAGTTCTGTGACAGTCCTAGCCTATGTTTGATTTGTAGATGGCTGCTATGGCAGTGGTGTGTCTTAAGGCCCTTTCCTGTCTTCCTGCAAGTCTTAGGACGATGGGCATTCTCACTTCAGGCTGTGTGGGTTAGTTAGATGACAGTGTGTCTCGCCAATAGAGAAGTTTAGCGTTTTTATTGGGTACATTCAAATCATATTTCCTTTAGAGTTTAAGTCTTGTATTTTGTTAAGACTTAGCTAAGATTGTGAGAATGCTTACCTGTGCTTTTTCCTAGTGCTTTCTTGCTTCTATATTTGGCTGGCTTACTTAATCCATTTGGAATTTATTTTATGATAAGGAATCTGTTTTTTTCACTTTTTCTTTTCAAAATGACTCATTTACTAAATAGTCCAATTATGGGAAAACTTAAATATCAATTTACTTTGCTATATCTTTGTATTTTCTTCTGTTTCTTGAATTCTGTGCTCAAAACAACCATACAAAAATCAAACCTCCTTAACTACTCGCAATTAATGAATTTCTTAAGGCAAATTTATTTCTCTCCTGGTTATACAATGTCTCCAGGACCAAGCATGGCCTTGGTGTGCAGGCTTCATTTCTGATCAGGTGAGTAGGAAACAAGGTTTCTTGGTTGATTTCAGAGCATGGTGGGGAGAGAGCTGCTGTCCGGTGTTTTCCTTGAAAAACACCAGAGAAGAAGGGCTAACCTATCAACCGGCTCTTGAGGCGTCTACTCCTTGGCTAATGTATGATGCTGCAATTCTTTAACTGGTTCATTGTGGCTTTTCAGCTCTGTGCATTTGGAAGTGATTGCTCACAAATGGAGAAATGGTTCCTACTTTTAACTGAATAAATATCATGACACGTGGTTCCTATCAATTAATAATTATAGGAAAATGCTTGTTTGCTGTTGATACCCTTTAATGGGTTTTCTAGAATGCCATACATAGACCAGAAAGGACTTTAAAAGCCAGAAGTCAATGCACAAAAGCTAAGCTATATCCCTATTATCTATGTATCTATATCTACCTATGCTTTAGCCCCGGCAAGAACTTGCTGTTCTACTAGATAACTGCTTTGAAAGTAAAGTCCCTTAAATAAGGAGGTGGTCATCACCCCTCATTTCTACACAACCTTTGCTTTTCTCGGTGAGTTTCTGCCACTGGAGATTTAGGAAGTTGGTTAAGACCATCTGTGTGCATTTGTCCATCCAAGGTGTTTTTAAATGTTTGTTCCATTTCACAGATTTCAGGTATAATTGAATTTTATAATGTGAATTTTTATAGAATTCACTTTCTGATGCTTAGCGGATATTTAACTGTGAGAAGATAGACCAGGACTAGCTGTGTTTACCATCTTTTATATTCATTTTGCAATAGGTAGTGATTATTACAGGGACCCACAACCAGTCAGCATGCATGTATAAAGTGTTTTAAAAGAAATCCTATGGTTTAAGCATTTAAAATATTGTGAACATAAAAGTATTGTAAATCATGTCTGCTGTTACCCTCATCATAAAAACATTCTATATCAAGTAGATAATAAATAGACGTGCAGAAGATAATTCACAATGATATTAGAACATGTTAAATAAATCTCTGCTAAAAGGAGAAGTTGTAATATTTTTAAAGTTTATTTTTATTTTACATGTTATACTGATTTTGTACATGTATGTCTGTGTATCACATGCATGGCTTATTCCCTCAGGAGCCCTAGAACTAGAGTTATAGACAGTTGTGAACCCCATTGTGGGTGCTAGATGTTAGATCTGGGTCTTGTAGAAAAGCAACAAGTGTATTAACCACAAATCCGTTTCTCCGGTCCCTAAAATGAAATTTTAAAAATATTTTTTGAGATAGAGCCATAATAAGTAATCTTGCCACCCTGGAACTTGCTAGATAGATAAGACTGGTCTTAAACTCAGAGGTTTGGCCACCATTGCTTCCTGGATGCTGGAATTGAAAGCTTGCACCAGCAAGCCTGTAGAGTCCTGAAGAGGGCGCACAGTCCCCTGGATCTGGAGTCTCAGAAGTTTGTGAACCATCCAGTGTGGGTGCTGGGAACCAAACCCAGGTCCTCTGCAAGAGCAGCAGGCACTTTAATCACTGAGCGGTCTCTTCAGGCCCAAATTAAAAATTTTGCTGTTATTTTTTAAGTGAATAAATATAACTGATTGGACATTCACAATCATAAAGTCAACACTTTTATCTTACCATAAACATTGGACAGATTAATAGTGAATTCCACGAAAAACACATCATTTATAAACACATTGATACTTAATAATGAACATTACTAGCCAATGAAATTTGAATTAAAATTGTAATAACCACTGTTACCTTGCAACGTCGTGATATGGGAGAGAGTTGAGGGGAGAGAGAAGCTAAGAAATATTAGATAATTTTATGAAAACTTATAAACCTTAAGTTCAGGGCCTAAGAGATGTTCTTTAAGGCAGAGAGCTTTACCAGGCAGAGAGCTTCAACTGCGTGTTTTCCCTAATGAATTCCACTTCTGCTGCACTGGACGAGAAGCGCTGTCAGTGCTGAGAAATACCTCGCGCTGTCAGACTTGTGGCTGACTGAACTTACTAAGAGGGCAGAGAGTCTCTCCTCATAGAATGGCTACTGCGCTTGTTTGGAAATGTACTTTTAAAACCTGGGTGTAAAGGACAGGCATGGGCTGACCTTTGCCCTGGGGCAGATAGTGTATATAGTCATGGCGACGTGGCTAGAAAGAACTTTCTATATGTTCCATCAGCAGATTTCATCTGCTAGAATGAAAGAGTAGACAATATGGTGCTTCTGATAGAGCACAGTGGCTTTCTGGCAACTAGTCTCGAAGTAAAGAAAATCGATGAAGCATCTGATAAGATATTTTAAAAGGTGATTCCAGTGAAAGGCAGGGAAGCATGAGCCACTGCCAAAGGACAAGTAAGTAGGAAAAATGCCACTAATTAGAATGAGAGAGTCTACAAAAATTTAGCATGGAAAAGAACCAAACAGAAACCTTGGAACTGAAGAAGTTAACAAGTCAAATAAAATACAGCTGAAAGACTTGACAACAATCTAAAGCAGAAAGAAATTCTGAGCTTAAAGACATCTCCTTCGAATTTCCCAATTGGATGGAAGGAAATTTAAAAAGTAGAAGAAAAAACGAAACAAAAACCTGAGACAGCAGGCCACCCACCACACAAACAGACATCCGACCGTAGGGGCTGAGAAGGGGAGTGTAGGATATGGAGAACAGTCGCCCTAGACTCCCTAACCTTGGGAAAGATGCAGTCACTGCGTTCAGGAGCTACAGAAGACTCAACCCATTTTCAGTGTTTCTTAGGAACTTGACAGTATCCGCTCAGCAGCCTGAATGTGACTGCCACTCTGCTGGCCTCCATGCAATTTAAGATTGTCTTCTGTGTGATGTGAAAAATAATTGCAAATTTGAACAGAGGGATTTTTATGATCTTTAGTGCATGTTCTTTTTGAGAATGGACTTTGGACTGGCATATTTTGTAAGCATTTCGCTATCAAAATGATTGCAGCTCGTTCTCATGTTTCTGCTCTGTCTAGTGTCCACTGTAAATGGAAAAATGATGGGAAACCTGCGTGGGAAGGAGTAAGGCTCCTTTCTATGTTTAACGAGGAGACAAGGAAGAGCCAGGCCTAAATCTTAAAGGATTTTGTTTTGTGGGTTTCTTCTTATCTTGTTAGCTTTCAATTGCAGCAAAACCATTAGAGATTACTGAGGAATAATAAAAATGACATCCCCCAGCCCCTATCCCATAGTTACTGACCTGGGACAGGGCTTGTGTGTAAACAGAGACACTGCTTTGGTTTCCCAGCTGCCCAGACCCAAATAACCACACAGAAATTTTATTAATTATAACACAGTTTGGCCTATTAGCTCAGGCTTCTTATTAACTACTTTTACATCTTAAATTAATCCATTTCTATTATTTTATATTTTACCAAAAGGCTCATAGTTTGTTACCTCTTGCTTCTTGGGTGGCTACATGGTGTCTGCCTGACTCCGCCTTCTTTCCTCCTCTAACTCTGCTTAGCCAAGACATTTTTAATATAAGACTTAGACTCCTTAGGATAAGATAACTATTGAAACATTTAGCATATGTTTCTTACTTGATGTTTTTCATGCTGGTTGTAATTCTAATTTTTATTTATATTTTTGCCTCTTCTTTTTGCTGTACAATACTTGATATTTGTTTGTATTGTATATAGTTTTGTAATAGGCTTTGAACCCTCTTATTTAGACCAAAGGGGGAAGTGTTGTGGGAATTCCTTCAGCCAATAGCCTTTTAGATACCGGGCCACTTTGTGCGTAGCCCCAGGTACTACACATGCATGTGCAGCCTCTTTTTCTGCTGTATTTCCTGCCTTACTATATTCTTCCCTGCCATAGCCCAAAGCAGCTTCCTTATTAACAAATGCCAATAAAACATAGTCACAACATACAGAGGGGAAATCCCACATCACTTGTGTGTCATTGTTTCAAAAAGAAAAGTGACTCCCAGATGTAACTCCAGTGTGCATCCTACATGGAAACCAGTAGCTTTGGGGTTTTTCTAGGTTTGGTTTTGCTTACAGCAGTTCTCATCTTGTGGGTCATGACCTTTTTGGGGTTCAAACCTTCTCTGATTTTCTTGCGGAAAATAGGACCAATTTCCCAGAGAAAATATGCCTGATTTATTTATTTCTCTATAAGTGGTCACCACTGAAAGCCTTAAATTGGCCTTATTAGGTTTATAAACCCATTATGTGGGTTTATGGTAAAATCTTAAATGGCCATCTAGTGTGTGTCTTGTGTATACTCTATATTGGCCTCCTCTTCTGGTGGGCACTGCAGGGGTAACACCTCCCCTCGTACATGTGCAGAAGCGGCATCACACTGGAGATTGCTTCTTAAAACTATGGCTTCATTTGGGAACTTTTATTCTCTGATCCACTGTTTTGTAGGAAATAAACTTCTTTTGAGAAATGGTGCTATATAGAGGCCTTAGCAGGGAGCTGGTGTTTGCAGCTGCAGCCATGAGGAGTGGTACTCTATTCTCCTCAGACTGTGTTGAGATCAGTGGCTGCCCTGGCCGATATGAGGGCTTGCAGGCAGAGGCCTAGATAATTATAAGACAAAAGAGCTGTTGTTTAAGGTTATTAAATTTTCGTGCTATATGCATAATAACTAATACATAACTGTATCCAGGCAGAGAAAGAAATAATCATTGTTCATATAACAATACAGGCTTTCAGGAAGCCTGTGATGGTAGCTGGAAATAGGACCATGTCAACCAGGAAGCAAGCAGGAAACCAAGAGATACCTTCTCATGAGAGTAATTGCCTAGCTCCTTGAGAGATGGTTCTTTCAAAAGAAATCACAAACATGGTAAGATAGTAGGATTTTGTTATTCCTCACTTCCTGTTAAGTCTTAATTCAAGAGAAAATAAATCTTTTTGATAAATTCTTCAAAATTAGAGAGCAGAAGGGAGCCTCTGGGAGTCCAATAGAATACATCGCTGTCACCGAAGATCAAAGCTTTATTGAATGTGGTAGAATGAGCAAAAACTAACCTGCCAATATCACTGAAAGAGTTATATGTGAGGCTTTAATGAGCTATTTCATAGCAAGAACATTCTAAGAACCCTAACCATCTGCTTCAAGGGTATCTTAGAAATGGTCACACATGATAATCATCTGATAGTCACATGGGCCCATGTTCATTCTGATGGATTATGGTTGACACACACACACACACACACACTCACAGATGCCCCCGCACGTACACACATACTCACAGATGCCTGTGTATGTGCGCACACACACATTTGCATATGCGTGCACATACACACACACACACACACACACACACACGGAGGAGGAGGAAGAGAAACGTTCAGAACTTGAATGTCTTCCTCTAGCACTCTCTACTTTATCTTTCGAGACAGGATCACTCTCTGTGGTCCCATAGATCACCTATTGACTAGACTGGCTAGTAGAGGCTCAGAAATCTGTCTGTCTCTGTCTCTCCCCAACATTAAGAATCAATGGAGTATTTTGGCTGACCAATAACCATCCACATTAGGTGTTAAATATTTATTGTCACACATTTACAAAATGATCTTAGCTTCTGTACTATTTGTATGTAAAGTTGGACTATGAATGATAGGAAATCATCTATGTCTCATTGACTCTCAGGTACATGACAGTGGGGTAAGGGTGACATTGCAGCCTTGCAGTTCAGTCTCAGATGTCACTCCCAGCTTCAGCTTTGTTCACTGGGGTCAGCTAGGCAAACACAAGTCTGCTACAGAGTGAAATGCAAACTCACATGAATCATAAGATGATTTTAAGTGAATGTTCTGTCTTTGGTGAGATATCATACATGATTTTTTTTTTTAGGTTTTCACTCTATACTATTCTAAACATTTAAGGGATCACACATCACAGTCTCCGTAATCACTCTTCATGGTTTTCGACATCAAAAAAAAAAAAAAAAAAAAAACTCAAAGGAAAAGCTCTAAGTGATAGAGACTTTATTTCCCCTTCTCTTTTGTATCTAAACTTACAGCAGCTCGAAGGTCAGCGGTCTACATTGTGGCTTGTCTGTGTTGAAGTGTTTTACTTTACTTGTATTGAAAGTATCTTTGTTTATTCTGTTAGCGTTCATATTTTTCCACTTAGTCCTTTACCAGTTTTTAGAAACCCACATGTTGGTATGATTTTCTTTTTAAATAACATTTTAGAAAAGAATACTCTTATTATAAAAATGCCTTTCATGATACTTTCCATTTATAAATTTAAAAGTTCACATAAAAGTTGCTTAGGAATCAAAATTGGAAATCTCATTCCTTTTCTCCTTTTGAGTCAAATTATAAAAGTACCATTATGCACTAAGTCAGTTGCCAAGTGGATCACAGGTGCTCTTAACTACAAAGATGGTATCTCAATGGAGGTTAAAACCAAATCAAACAAGGAGATCACTGACAATCTAAGCAGGACACATGCTAAGTGACCTCAGCTGTGGCAAGCTGTATCCACCCAGCACCTTGATTCTACTAAAAGCTGTACCCTGATCTATGAAAGAAGGAGGAAGATAAAGGCCTCACAGACTTCCAAGACTCTAGATTCTAAATGTGTTTGACTAAAGTAGATTTATTTTTTGGAATTTACATGTTAAGTTTTTTTTTAAGTAGAGCAAAACCTATAATTAAACATAAGTGCTGGGGCAGGTGAGATGGATCAGTTAAGAGCACACACACTGCTCTTGCAAAGGAGCCAAGTTCAATTCTAGCACCCGCTTCTGAACTCAAAGAGGACCTGCGTTCATGTGTATGTACCAATACAGACACACACATAGGTACAGAGTTTTAAAATAACAACAGTAAATCTGGCTCATCTAATTTGATATTCTAATTTAATGGTAGCTATAGCCACCTTCTATGCTTACTCACGGCTTGTGTTTACGCTTCTGCATGATCATGCTTCAGTCTGAGGTTTTACGTTTTCAGAAAGAATAATTGCATCCCACCTTTTCCTCGGAAACTGTTAGTTGAATGGGTCCGTGTATATATAAGCTGATTGTGGCCCAGCACTCAGCTAGGCACTGATGGAACAGCTGTGAAGAGCACAGTCTGCTTCTACCCTTGATACGCTTGCTCCTAAGACTCCAGGCACAGAAGCCTGGGCTAGGAAGCTAGACTAGCAATGGCCTTAAATCCCTGAATAGAGTTGCTAGTCCAGACTGTTCCCTCAGGGCTTCTCCTATGTGTGTGTGTGTGTGTGTGTGTGTGTGTGTGTGTGTGTGTGTGTGTGTGAGGGATGGCAACACTTCCTACCTTCTCATAGCCTGGACACCTGGGCAAACCACAAGCAAGTCAAGTAATTCTGTTGTTTTGTTGACAGGGACTTTAATCTTATAACCTTCACTCATAAGCATATTACCAAATAGTATTTTACGTAACATAAAGAAACTTCAGTAAAAAGTGCTTTGAAGTTGATATCACAATAATTAATATCCCAACAGTTTAAGTAACTTGGTGAACATGCATACAGTTCCATCAGCACCTGCTGGTGGCAGAACTATGGAGTGAATCTTGTCTGTTAGGCCTGTTGTCTGTGGCCTGACCTGAAGCCTCAAGGTGTCTGGGGCCTTGCACACTGCCTACAGCCTCCAATGCGGTTGTTTTCTTCCCACTTTAATGTTGGCAACGTCTGCAGATACTGCTAAAGATTATCAGATTGCTGACTTTAAACGGACGTCTAAACCAGGCTTTATTGCCACGTATCAAAATACATTCTGACTAAAATCCTTTCTTTCTTTCACTGATGTGATCCGAATTCATTGGCAAGAGCTGTTGTGGCAAACTCTTTCCCACATATTTGTATCATTCGCTCTGAGCCATCTATTGTGAGCATGGCTGCAGGCTGTCATTTTTGTCCGGCATCCAACACTTGCTAGCCAAGTGCTGTGTGCTAGACTTGGTGTCAGTCACCAGGGGAGGAGAAGTCTGCAGTGCAGCCAGGCGTTCTGTTGTTCCCTTGAAATTAAAAGCATATGAAACAGAAACAGCATCTTAAGGTTTTTTCTTTATAAATAACATAAACTTAAATAACAAAACAATAAAATTCAAATACAACTTAAAGTAGAGTTTAATGCTGTAACCACGGGGAGGGGCGGAGGGAGTGTAATTATTTGTGGGAAGAACATAATTAAAAGTCGGGTTCCCAAATGTGAATCACACAAAAGATAGATATGTTACTGGAAAAAGACTTAAAGATTTCGGAATTTTATTTTTAGGGATTATAAAATGTTACTTTGTGGTGAGATGAAATACAGTATTATCATCATTATTGCTATTTTATATACAGATTTCTAAGCATCCTGTTAGCAATACCTTTTCAATTTGAGTGGCGTTAGGACTTTTCTCATGTTAATCAGTACAGGTATGTTCCAGTACTGTCATTTTGTAAATCCCCCTGTCGATTCCATTCTATAATAAGATGTCGAGAACACTCACTTTTCTGAGTAGAGCTGACATGGATTCTAGCTCTTACGGGAAAGCTCTCAAACACTGCTCGTCCTCTACAGTTTGCGTGGGCTTGATGATCCTCAAGCATTCCAGCAGGGTTAGGTCTGACATACCTTATATAACATCATCTGCATCACCATCGTCATTATTATAGCAGCCATTTTATAAGCAGATAGTGATATTAAATACTCATTATCAGATAGTCAAATCTAACATACTCTGAAGGGTAAATTAATTTAAGAAAAACATCACTATTACTAACATGATTGTACAACCACTTTTACAACTTTTTACAACTTTTAGTTACTAAATCTGATTTTTGTGTATATTCTTCAACTCTTTCTTTAATGCAGTCTTTTAAAATAAACAAAAATGCGCAAGTCCAGCTTGATCAGTTTTCAGTAGTTTTCCAGCCTTTCTTGGTTACTTTAAAAGAGAGAGAGAGAAAGTAAGGAAAAAGGAGGAAGAAAAAAAGTCCACTGGAAAGAAATCTCCCTGCTGAATGAAACTGGTTTCTCAAACACCACGTGTGATTAGGTTATTGCCATAGGAAGAAAATGGGCCGTTTTTTGTTCTTTCTTCGTCTTCTTCCCTTTCACGGGAAGCCCCTTTTGGTTTAAGGCAACAAACATTTCCCCGCCACTGTGTGTCCATTTAGCTGATGCGTACGTGTTGTAATGGTTTTCCAGAATTAGTTCTTTGAAGTTGCAATCCTCATTGCATTCTTTCTGATAAAAACAAGCACAAGAAAAAAACCAAACACAATCATTAAAACAAGTTCTGCGGGGTGGGGACTCAAGCTAACAGCAAGCAGGTGGTGGTCTGTAGAGCTGAAGAGTGTGGGTTTATTTTAACCCTCGGAGTGAGCAGAGTTGACACAGTTGAATGGGTTTATCTATGCTATGTATTGCCGTGGATCAAATGTGCCTTAAGTTTAACGAACAATCGCATAATACACATTTAGTTATGTCCCTTTGGACAGCCAATCTCTACTCTTTAATGTTGGGACCTCTCAGTCACTCCATTCTTTGTCCACCGGAAATTTAGTGTAAAGGGTGTAGCCTCCACCTCCTGCAGGTGAGGAACTGTTTGATAACCTTTATTTCACTTTCTACCATGTTGCCCTCAATTGTAACAAAAGTAAAAAAGAAGGTAGCCAGTTTGTTCATCCAAGGAGCCAAATCTTCGTTTAAGCCCCTGTTCTGCAGTTTGCCTGCATGGGCACTATGCAGTGCTTCAAGAAGACAAGGGAAATGAATTTTGCTTTATATTAATGGATTGAACTGTCAAATATTTCACATCATCATAAAGTGGAAACGATGTGAATGCTTACAGTTCAAAGCCCATGATTGGGAGGCTGATGTTGATAAATGAACTGAACACTTCAAAATTTTCCCCAAGAATTTTCAGTGTCAGCAATGTGCAAATCAGATGGAGTCTAACACAAAGAGCTTTAATACTCACAGATGGAAATGTTAGGCTTCAAGTATCTAAAGTGCACATGGGGGTTTACATAGAAAGGAACCCTAGAGATCAGTCATCCCAAATCATCTCACAGATGAAGAATCTATTATCCAGATAGCCTAAGCAATCTAAGATCATACAAAAAACAGTTTGCCTTAATGCTGGAGTTAAAAAAAAATGTTTTAATGGAATATCCAACTTGTACAAATGGAAGAAATTAATTACAGAATGCAGAAAGAAACATATTTTTGACAAAAGTAATTTGAATAATAACTAAGTTATCAATTATTAATACCTTTGCGTAGAGTTTTCCTTCTTTATTCATTGCAAGATAGTATTCACTTTCCACCCCTTTGATTGCCACGATTCCGACTGCCACAGTCCTGATTTCCATGATGTCTGCAAGGAATCACAAAAGCGTATATGATTACCCACTGTTCTTGAGACCTTTTCCCCCAAACATGCAGCCACAAACAGCAGAGTACTCATTAAACGTCGGCGTGCGAACTGATGACGTTTTGTCGCGCAGCAAGGCTATCTGCATGCAGAGAAATAGTTACATTATTCCTCCAGACCTACACTTCTAATCTACTGTAGTGACAAAGCAGTTGATATTTGCTGGATTCATACCCTGAAAGAACTGCTCCCTCCCATGTATGGATGTGTCCAGTCATCACCACACACTGTGGGCAGGCATCCTTGCCACACCTACTTCCCTGAGGAGGATGCTGAAATACAGAGAAGTAAGGAGTCTGCCTATTTTATAAAATCAATGTCATCCAGATAATTTTGGTTTTTGTATATGATATGATAGAGGATCAGTGCCTTGCTCAGCCATCATCAGAGAAACTGCTTATAGTACATGGGAATTAACACAGAGACCCACAACTGGCCAGGTTAAAATTTAGATAGGCGGAGTAAACAGAACAGAATGCTGGGAGGAAGAGGAAGTGAGCTCAGACGTCATGCAGCTCCTCTCAGGGCCAGACGTGATGAAGCAAGCTTGAAGAGGCTCTGGAAATTTTGCACATCCCTGACAAGTTCGTGACAGGTGAGATGCTGACGCTGATGCTGATGCAGTCACACAACGTGCAGCAAATCCTCCCTGAGAGCTCCTGTCATGCCTGGCTCAGTTCAGAGACAAGCACCTGCCTCAGGCTCTTATGGTTTTCTCTAAAGACATCAAGGGAAGCAATGCAGCACCAGCAGAATCCCTTGGGTTAAACTGTTACTCCTGTCGTGAAGAACACTGAAGACGGCAGTGACTGCACCGCACTTGCAATACCTTCAGAGCAGCATTTAAGAATCTTTTAAAGCTGGGTTCTGAAGACCTTAGCACTGTGAAAAGTGTGCACCATTTTCCTGTTTTCCAAACTCCATTAGTCCAGTGTTGTATTGTCTGAGAGACGAGAGTACTGATGCAGAGCCTGGGGTTCGGCATTCATGATCAGTTAGGATTAGAGGATGCCTCTGTGATGTTTGCAAGGTGTTCCTTCATGGGACATTTGTCCACAAAACCCAGCTGCTGAGTGAAAGTTATTGGTCCTGTGGTATGTGAACTCCTTGCCTTTTAGGGCCAGTCGTATTGTCTTGTCCCCAACAGCTCCTCTATCCCCTGACTATCCATCCCTTGTCCACTGTAGTTGTGGTTGCTGCCCTTTGACACCAAGTGGTGATAGACACTGTTGATCTTTTCTTCCTTGTATTAGGATTAAAGAGACACAAAGAAGAATTGTAAGGATTTTAGCTTGAAATGGGGCGAGAATACACTTTAAATGACCATGTTGCTATATTTTCAATTGTGTGACAGTAAAAAGAATTTTTCATCTCAGGAAAAGAACATATCTAAAAGCCATTTGATGAGATAGCACTAGGAGGTATGGTCAGACATCAACCCTGATCGTCTGCTTTGCCCCTTTTTGAAATAAAAAACTCAGGGAATAAAAATATTAAACTGTCACATTTTTGTTCACATGCAGAGTAGGAATGATGTTCCTCTCAATATCTACAAAAATCTGTAGAATTATTAACTATGTAAACCTACAGAATTTTTTCTCCATCCCAAAATAAGAGTGGAGAAGATTCTCAAAAATATAAGAATATATAACTTACAGATAATAATATATCTATCAAAATAACTAAATTGTTTTTGACCTTGTAATATACAATAAATAAAAAATTTATACTACTTCCAATAAGGCAAATACAAGATGGCGTCTTTCTGTGGATCTCTGTTTCTGTTAAGAGTTTACTCATTTATCCCTAATGAGGTGGTGAAGCATATTACTCTACATAGATGCATCAAACCTTTAACATAGGAAAGAGCTCAAAAACTGAGAGAGAGAAAGGGGGGGGAGGGAGGGAGGGGAAGAAAAGAAAGGGACAGAGAGAGAGAGAACATGAAAATTAATATATAATGCACAGCATGTCTAACCAACACCTTCAGCAACAGCATGGGTTCGTCATTTAGGGTGTCTAGCTTATGCACCAGGGGACATTCAGTAATGCCTTTCCTATTTCCAGAATTCAACTATTCATGGACTTATCAAGCCTTTTTGCTCATTTAATCTTGTGCCACACTTGGAAACAGAGGAGGAGACCTTGAAATAAATTGTTATACTTAAACAAAATTCTCCCAGTACCTATCTACTTGCAGAATTAGGAATATTCCCTTAATCTTGTTCTCTCAATATGGATAGTAGTTCTCTGTTTCTATTGCCAATAGCTTCATGATTAAGAATACTTTAACTTCCTTTTTCAAAATTATTTTCAATAACCATCTGGAAACCTGCCCCATCCCAGCATATTAATATTTATTTCCTAAGATTCTCTTAAGAATTATACTGTTTTAAAAGTTTTGAGGGGAGAACATATCAATATGGAGGAATAATACACATTTTGGAGATAAAAAAGTGGTTTATTAGACTAATCAGAACATTTAATTTTTTCTTTGATCAAGTATACCTTCTTGCACACATTAAAACTAAGAACTAAAAAGAAAGAAACAAAAACAATTTTAATGTTAAATAATGAACTTTTAGGATATTCTGCCAAGATTGTGTTGAGTGAGAAATATCTTAATGACTGAATATATGACATTTAAAGGTTTAGGATTAATTTGACAATAAATTCTATGACATAAATTCATGTTTTTAAAATTATATCCATTATCTTTAAAAGAACCAAGAACTTTAAAAATATAATAATAAACATCAAAAAAAAAGTAGATAAGCTATCTGAAGAAATGGTAGCAGATGAGCAGATGACTGGGAAAGGTGCCATATCCTGTCACTAGAGAATGAAAACAACGTTGAGGTCCTCCTCACAGCCATTAGCATGACAAAGCCCGACAGCTCAGGGCACATTGGCAAAGATGGAACACAGCCCAGACTCCTCCTAGGTATTAGGAACACAACGTGCAGTCAGCTTGGAAGACACTTTGGCCTTTTCTTAGGAACTGAAGACAGATGCCTTGTGCCAAGGCACTTACCCTATTGAGTAGAAGACATGTTCCCACAGAAATCTGAGTATGAAGGTTTAAAGCAGCGTTACATGTAAGAGCTAGAAAGGAGAGACAACCAAGGTGTTCAAGGGAGAAATGAATAGCCAGACTGCTGCATCCATTACCCAGAATGTTAGTTAAGTGTCTTTATAACTCAGTAGCAAGCCACAAAAAGACATGAAAAAGGCTTACACGAGCATGACGTGTGAAAGCAGGGGATTTTTAATCAGTGGACTGTTGTACAGGGCTGTAATGGCAGATACATTTTATTTTGCATTTGTCAGAATTCCTGGCATTGCACAGGACAACAAACTAACAACATGTATTTAAATATTGGTGGGAGGAAATATTCACCATTCTAAGACATTAAAATAGTGGAACCATGATACCTCTGCTCGCTGCTCAAGTTGTCTGCAAATCTATAATTGACTGAAAAATATAAGTTTTTAAATTGCAATTTTAATTTTTTAAAGTTGTACTCAAAATTTCCATTAATTGTATACAATGACAGACTGTAAAGAGACTACTTATACGAAGATCTTAAGTATTTGTTCTTCTTCCAAGTACATAGTGCATATGGGGTTTGTTACAAATATTGTCTTGGATGATAGATTAAGATCTGCTTATCAAATGAATTGTTTCTTTTGTAACACGTAAACAGCTCTGAGTACTTATGAAGCAAATGCACATTGGCAAGTGTAGAAGGCACCAATTCTCTATGTGTGAGAAGACCACTATTCCACTCATAAGTGTGCTTGTCTCTTAAGTGTTGGGGTGAAGCATGAGAGTCAGTAATATTTTAGAAACTTGAACCATGACATTAATTATGCAGTCATTGAAATACTTTGGTATTAATAGAGTGACTATCAAATTTCAGTTCAGATTTTCTCTTTCTGCAGGCAAAGATAAGTGATACCCAGCAATATATGCCAACTGCTTAAATTCATGGAATGGAAAAATCAATTTCATAGGAATTAAAAGCCAAGAAATGTTATCCATGGTAAAGAAGGGTCATAGGATCTGAATAGTGATCGCATTTAAATCAAATCTTAACTGATGGATAAGGTTAATGTGTAGACAAGAAGAAAACAATGCAGTTGAACACTCAGTACATGCAAAGTCATGAAAGCAAAGATTCAAATGTCATTTTCATAAGATTGGAATTAGAGTTACCTAGACTAAGAAGTATAAATAATAGCATTGAATACAAACTGAAAGAATCTGAACTTGCATTTGAAAATGGCGAGAGTTCCTTCTCCTTTGATCTTTGGAAATGTCAGTCTGGGGTGGGTGAGGTGGCTTAGGCAGGACAGATGCTGACATTCTTCCCAAGGTGGAAAGAGAGAACCAACTCCCAGCATGCCCTCTGGCCACCAGCCACAGCCTCTGCACACTTCCCCTTATGCCAAATACACAGATAAATAGGTAAATGTCATAAAATATGTGTTTAAAAAAGAATATTGTCAGGCTGGAGATGCACTGGAGGAAAACTAGTTGTGTGTGAGAGGCAGGTAGGGGGTGAAACAAGCGTGCCTTGCTCTAGTGTCATTAGAGTCGTTTTGACAAACAAAAGTTACTGTGAACGTTTTTTTAAATTATTGAATTCTTTTCAAAATGCCTCAGCTTAAATTTCTATGTCTTAAATTTCTTATAGTTATACCCTACTCACACCGCAGTTCCTTGCTGGTCTAGATTTTAGAGTGTAAAGTGGTTATCAAAACTAAAATCCTGTTTGAAACCAGGCTTCCTAAACCCACATTTCTCCTGGAGGTTTTTGTTGCAACTTCACTGTCTGTTGTAAGTCTCAAGTATTTGTGCTATGAATATCTCTGGCCAGTTTATGACCCTAGTGAACATGGGTTTATAAATAGAAAGTTCATGCACATGTATACAGAAA